GATGCAGTTGTTGGCTGTCATCAGATCTTTTAGTGTCTGTGTGTGTTGGGCCCGAAACACATCTGATATCAGTAGCGCTTTCTGCTCAGGGTTGTTGATGGAGGCTCGAACTGATTCTATGTGGGTAAGAAGGATTTTCTCAAAGAACTGGACACTGGTCAAACCTTTCGACCATCTGGTGAGGCGTCATAATGATAATTGTATGTGAAAGGGGTATGATAAGATATGCTGAGTGTAAGTAGACTAAACTATCTGATTGAGAGACTAAATATCACTATTGTATATCTATCATTTTGTACTGTGCCATCATCACTGTATTTTTTAGTAGTTACTGGGCATATCGTAAATTTCATAATGTGAAACAACTCAGACTACCACCTACATGCTTAAAATTGAAAGCAAAATGACTGGAATAATAATGAACTAAGGCTCAGTAATAGCACATTCACATTTGCTGCTGATTTGTTGCTCTCTTATCGCAGGGCTTATCTCTACTGTTATCACGACACCGCTCAGCCTGTCGCTCGTCTTGTATTGTGTAACTTTAACTGTAATCATGGAAAAGATGGACTTGGAAAGTATTAACTACAGGTGGGATGAGATTTATTCTTGGAGCAAAGAGCAGTTGCGGAACTTTGGCAAACCGTACGGAAAGATGACGGACATAGCAGATCCGAAGTTTGCGAAATCAGTGAATAAGCCAGAACTTGTTGGCATTTGTAGTCGGTCTTATGAGTACATTGGCTATTTAATGGAAACTGTGGAGTCGTACCGAAATTGCTGCACAACTCTTCAGGCAAATTTGATTCAGAACCAGGAAACTCTCATCAGCGTTCAGCAGGAGCTCTCTCAGTGTAAGTCCGAGAAACTGGAATCTATGAAGAAAATCGTGGAAACCTCAGTCGCTGATTCAGTTAAAGAGGAGATTAAGACTTACAGCGCAATTGTAAGCAATTCACAGACGGTAACTGCCCCAGTTATCTGCCCAGAAGCCCTAAAAAATGTTGTGAAGACCGTAGTCGCAGAAGAGGACCGTAGTCGAAATCTTCTTGTTTTCGGTTTGCCGGAGGAGGAGCAGGAAGAGTTAGAGGTAAGAATCGGCGAGGTTTTAGAGGAAATAGGGCAGAAACCGAAGGTGGAAGTAGAGCGACTCGGCAAGAAGAAAACTTCTACCTGTACTCGCCCAGTGAAAGTCTGCCTGACCAGCTCCTTGATCGTACATCAAGTCTTAGCAAACGCTCGGAAATTGCGACAATCAGCCAAGTTTAAGACTGTGTTTTTGAGCCCTGACAGATCACTGGAGCAGCGGGAAGCCCGAAAGGAGCTGATTGCCAGCATGAGAGCTAAAGCTTTAGCGGAGCCGGACAAAAAGTTTTACATTAAGGAGGGACAGATATTCAGCTGTAGTCGCAATTGAGTGTATTTATCAGTACATGTGTGATAATGCTTGTTTTTCAGTGTGAGTGAAGTTTTAGTTAGTGCTAAGCGGGTGCCTACTAGGCTTTTAACTTTCTATACAGGACTGGATAGTCTTCAGACTGTTTTAAAGCTTATTTTTAGTGCAAGAGTTGGTTGCTAGGCATTGCATTTATCTAAGCAGCGCCTGTATTCAATAATTAATGAAATCTTATTAGCGGATTTAGGTATATAATTATTGTATATATAATATATTATTGTATGTATAAATTCTTGAGTAAACATTAACCAGTAAACAAAGCTGGTTCCCAATCAATCAGGCAAATATCTAACTGAAATTTTAGTGGAAAATCGTTCATTTTTCGAAGAATTTGTGCCCAAATTTTCGGTCGCCCAAATGAGTTCAAATTTTCTGCCCAAATTTTTCGGGCTCAAATAAATTGTGCTCAATATAATGGCACACAAATTTTTGGGAACTAAGGTATATCTCTTGACCCGAAAAGGAAATTTGGGTTAAAGAGTTTAGAATTTCAAAAATGGTCTTTAAGCACATTTTTCCGAAAACGGCAGCTTTGCTGTGATGAACGCCGCTGGTAAACTAACATAAGAATTGTAGAAGTTATTGAAGTTAAAGAAGTATGAAAGACCCATAATATAATATTGACTGCACATATGAAACCCATTCCGCAGTGGATATATCCGCCGCAAAGCTGAGATCGAATAGTGAAACACAGTTCAACGAGCTTTCAACTGGTTACCGTGACAACAACTCAGAGTCTGAGCCGCGCAGTTGGGGGGACAGCATGTCAGACATTTCACAGTGCAGTAGCAGCAACAGACCCGTCAGTCTGTGTGTGAAATACGCTGAATCTGAGGTTGGTTGGTAGTAAAGTATGAAGTTCAATGTTGGTGGGGTCGTTGGCAAACAAACCTGCTAATTCAAATTGTACCTTAGTGATTGTGGGGGATGTAGGAGTTCGCTACCGAGATCAGTATTTTTACTTTTCAGTTTTCTAGCGCGACAAAACTATCCACCAGGATAACTTGCTGGCGATAGAATCGGATTTGGAGGCGCTTGAAGATGAGACGAGCTATGACAAGTTGCAACGCCAGTTTGACAACAGTAAACTATCAGATATATTCGACTACGAACAAGGTAAGAAGGTCAAGGTAAGAAGGATTGGGGATACAAGTGTATTATTAGTGAAAATAATTAAGTTATTTTTGTATGTTCTTTCGCTGACAACCATGAATTAAAATAAGGGCTACTAATTAAATGTCCGGAAACAATTTTTTAAATTGAATAACGGACACTCAATAAATGAGACTTTTCAATATTAGCATGTATCTGATTATAGTAGCTCGACCCCTCAGAACAGCGAAGGAGGTCAATGTCAGCGATCCCGACTAAGAAGCCCCGACCCATCTTCCTCAAGGGGAACGAATCCCCAGCCCAGTCACGAGTCACGTGACTGGAAAATAAGTCGGTTGATTTTATTTGATGGCTTATTGTATACACTGTAATCTGTATATTGTATAATGTATATTGTATAATGTATACACTGTATAGTGTATATTGTATAATGTATACACTGTATATTGTATAATGTATATTGTATATTGTATACTCTGTATATTGTATAATTGGTTCATTGATTAACAAATAATCAGAAGCAGTCGAGTCTGAACAGATGACTTTGCTTTTCAAGTTGATGCATCACTCGGAACTAATGGTCTAATGACTAACAATAATTATGAGCGCACTTTTGCAGTGCACCGTGCACGCTTTTCTGATGTTTCGTATGTTTATTTATTTTGATTCACGAGGCTGAAAGTTTTTTTGCAGGTTTTATCGGTATGAAAATGTTGTGATATTTCAAAATTGCTGATAAATTCTGATCTTTTAATTGAGTCAAGTGTTGTGAACTTTTTGTTTGGTACTATAAATATCACGATCTTGAAAAAAAATTCAGAATTGAAAAAAAACCCATCTTGTCACTCGAAGTGGAAAAAACAAATACACACTGTGTACCTAAATTGCTTAAAATTGTTTCGCGAATTTCGGTTTCTCTATTAACTGATGTTTAATGTTTGAGATGGAACCCCGATACATGACAATGGGGGTCACGACGTGACACAAGATTTTCTATAAACTTAATGCTAAATACTTATCATTTTCTTTCTCTCGGTGAATTTCTAAAAGTGCTATCAAAGAACAAATAGTTAAACAATAAATCACGCTGATTATTACTCTCAAGATCGAAGACTTTTTACAAATACCAACAATTATCCTAAAAATATTTACTTCACGAAATATCTAAAGCTTCAACACTTAAAAGTAAAGCGTTTTACGACTGTATGGATTTGGTTAGTGGATCATGGATGCTCAGTGTCCGTCTTCACTGCATTGTGGAATGTGGATTTTCATTTTCATTTTGATGGGGAGCCAAAATGTTTCTTCTCCCCAGGGACTAGGGGAGGAGAATTTGCCTCTGTCATATGATATTCGATTAACCAATCAGCTTCCGGCCTTGACCTAAAAATTGCCAAAAAAATTGAACACGTTATATGAGAACGACCACTTATCTAGATAAAATGTATGAAACCGATGATGAAAAGCCTTTTCTCAACCAGACCGATACATCGGGTCATACTAGTTTTCTCGCCACTGAGCTGTCACAGACTCACATGACAGTTCATCTGATGATGAAATATTTATTTTAAATAACTCATTTTTACTCTTATTGTCCGCATATAATATTATGGTTGGCTCCATTCTTCTGTTCACCAATGACATACAAATTTAAAGAATCTTGAAAATTCTTTGGCGAGTGAATAATAATAGCAATGATAAATAAAACCAAATCACACTCATTTTTCCATCCTTTTTCCGCATAGAGACGAGCATTGCTCTGCTCCAACATCTTCCTCAACAATCACGTGATACGTAACCACACGTGCTGCCAGCCGGCTATCACTTAATACATCACTTTTACACGTGAGAGAAATAATACATTACTCCCACTGGGATTACACACCGACAAAGGTATGTGTACGGCCCAAATTTCGTTTGGTATAATGGATCAGTTTTGGGCGGGGTGTTGTTTAAATCAGACTTTTTAGCACGTGCAAGAGTTGCTAATTACAATGAGAACACATTGCCACATATCGTATTTAGAGATGAAGATTTCGTTTAAGGTATAGCGCCTCGTTATTATGCTGATCTGCTAATTTTCTCATCACATCCTGGGAGACTTTGCACTTGCCGTTAGCTTGTTTGTGTGAGAGTGAGCTACGTCATTGGTATGATTTGTACATTATACCACGTGTTCTTCTTGCTTTGAAACGCAGATCTTACTGGATAAATTATGAGATTGTTGTTTTGTATCTTAATAAATCAGTCATCCATCACACCGATTCATAGGGCCATTACACGCGTAAAATACACGCTAAATGCTAATCCATTCTTATTGTATTGTATTGTGCGAACTTCTTTTGTTACGTCCAATAAGTGATCGTACTTTGCTAACTTGAATTGTAAAATTGAAACTTTGTTTTTTAAGACTCGGTGATTACTTATACAAAGTTTTAAGCTTCTGCAGCAGATATATTACCATGTGACAGAACCAAGTATGGGCGTGGGAGCTTCTTGTGACTCCGGTAAAGAATCCAACTTTCTGATTAAACATCCAATCGTATCTTGTATTTATAATGATCAAACTTCACTTCTTTCCATCCAAAAACAATGAATCAGAATATGTTCAGATCATCACCTCTAACTTTCAAGATTCATAAACATGTACATATTAGGCGTATCGCCTTTCTATTGTAAGCGCACTTATATTTTATATAGACAACGTCAGGTAATTCAGAAAAGGAGTTTCTGTTGATGCAGGCAAAGGACTTGTCTCATGAACTACGACACACCAGAACAGTTTGTGATACTCTAAAAGACGAGGTACACTATTTTTTAATTAATTAATTAATTGAAATGGTTTTTTGACACATTGTTCATCACGTTATCAGAATATGCATACTTTAAATTCCTCCGTTTGCCAGCTCTCAGACAAGAAAGCAAGATGCGAACGGGCAGAGAGTGACAAAAAACAGCTGAAATTTGCGGTGAAACAACTAAACGGGAAGTTACACGAATACGAGATAATGATAGCAAGGTTGCAGCACGCCGTGAAGAATAACGAGATATACGACATGTACGATGAAAACTTGTAAGTTTAGTTTCAGTGGTTAGATAAACGTTATCAAACATGAGGTTCACGTACTGTAGTGCGACACGTACTCTAGTGCGACACGTACCCTAGTGCGAAACCTCCAAGATCGACACTGTCGCAGTAGAGTACGCTACCTGGATCGTAGTGCGACACGTACCCTAGTGCGACAGAGAATTTTCAAGGCCGACACTGTCGCACTACAGTGCGCTACCTGGACTGTAGTGCGACACGAACTAAAGTGCGACAAAACACTTTGCACATTCAATAGAAATTTTACTTTCCATTTTTAATGACAAGAGTGTAGTCGTGTATGAGTAATGGGGTTAAAAATAAATATAAAGTCAAAGATTGCAATCACAATATTCAATTCAAAATCATTGTTCCAACACACTTCAACTAATCCATTCTGTCATAATCATCGTAGCTATCAATCACAGCGTTCAAGCGACGGTCGTAATCAGTCCACTTCTTCAGTCGGCGAGGAGGTAGTTGTCTGAGCATCTTCATTGAAGAAGACATGTTGTTCGATGCTTTGGTAGAATCATCGTGACCTTATTTATGGCCCAAGCATATGAACTTGTTATCCCAATCGGATATATACCTTCATACGATGCGTGTGATAGGAATGAGGATCATATGCTGCTTAAGAGTAACCCAGTGGATCACACACTGCATACGTGGCTTGAACTGACCCGAAAGTTATGATCAGTGGATAACTTCGAAACACGTGATGTGAACTGACGAATCGTATTCGCAAGATCACTTCGAAATAAGTGACGTGAACCGACCCGACGAATCACTTAATGGTCCATAAGAAGGATAGGATGTGACCTGAACTTGAAAATAAGTCAGGATATTTTGTCGCACTAAAGTACGCTACCTGGATAGTAGTGCGACACGTACTGTAGTGCGACAGAGGGTGTTTTTGTCTGACTTCGCACTAGAGTACGTGTCGCACTAGAGTACGTGTCGCACTACAGTACGATTACCCAAACATGAGTACATAGTATAAATTGATAAGAGAATAAAACTGTGTATAATACTAATATAGTATAGGAGATAAGTATAAGATTTAACGTTTAGGATTATAGGATTAATTTCAAATGTCAGTGAACTTAATTTAACCCTAAATCTACAGCAGCTCTCATCGATCAAATACTCCGTGTTCGGCCAGGTGAATACCCGCGTGTGTGTGACTTGGTGGATTAGTGTAGTGTTATAGAGTCTCATGATTTGATAGTTCTTTCATTCAAATTTCTGATTGTTTTTAATACTTTCAACACTACTGTATAACAAATAATTTAAGAATATGAAATATGAATATGACGTAGAAATTTCGATACGTTATTCAGCTATTTATTTCCATTAAAATCTGTCTTCACTGAGTCTATTCAGAAACAATCAGAAATTTTAATGAAAGAACTGTGTGTGACTTGTCAAGCGCATTTTTCGACGCTTCAATTTCTGATTTTTATTTGTGAAAATATAAAGTGATGTAAACCAGTTTTCATTGTCGAGCTACTTGCACAATATGTAGCTTACATTGAAGTTTATAATCTCCCCAAAATCACAGCTCTATGAACTCGTCAGTGTTCAAACTACAGTCACCGATGCCAAAAATGCGGTACTATTATAATATGCACAACGCACACTTCTGGCCTTAACTCTGATTTATTGATCAAATTTCGTGTGTTGAGTGTCTTCTTTAGTTTGTCTGGTATTATCCGCAATTTATAACTGATTGGATATTCTTTTATCCCGGGTGCTACTCCTTATTCATCCTAAATATCATAATTTTTTCTGTTTTAAATTCTCACATAGAATAAATTGCAAATATCCCAGATCAGTTTTGGCAAAATTGGGTGACCCATAGTAAAAATGTGTCCTCATCTAACTTGGGTGGACTTTAACCTTCTTTTATTTTGGTACAACTTGTTTAAAAGCACTTTATTTATACATAGTGATGGTGTGCGTAGTTTATTTAAAAACAAACTACGCAAATTAATAAATTTCATGAAGACTAATTTATTTCTCACCAGACGAAGCTACACGAGCATGGACAGTGGAGTTCACGACACAGCAGTCAGCCCAATGAACGACATCGCAATACAAACGATAGAAGATACTAAGGCATCAGCAGTACAGTGCTCAATGCTCAACGTATCACATTTGCAGTCCATCATGGGAGAAATAGACGCTCAGATTGTTTCAGTAAGGAAGAAATGTTGGATTTAAAGTTGCGACTATAGAATTTTTCCATATTGTTGTATTAGCCTGATTTAAATTGAAATTCAATTGCAATTCATCGCAAGCCGTCGTAAATGCGCATGAAAACCACAATGATTTTATAACGATCTAGTCAACATGTGAAATATGAATCAGTAGTTTTAAGATGGGTTAGAAAGCAGCTTTAAACATATCATTTAAGCATGTAAACCGGATTATATTCAAAGCTACTCTAGATTTCTGTAGAATAAGCCTATCTAATTTGGATATAATATAGCACAATCTTGGAGCTTTGTATTACCAAATCAGAAGTGTTCACTAAACGATTTCATCGAGAACAAATAGAGTTGCTTTCTTGATTTGCGTGCAACTTGTACGAATAAAGTTGTTCTGGGTGTGACTTGTAAGAATGTAAAACAAACTGTTGCAGGTGGACGAGATAATCACACAGAACAAAACAAGTCTATCAGTGTTAGATAGTTTATTCGAGAGTGAAGCGGAAGTAGTGGAGGAAGATGATAGCAGCAGTGAAAAAGATAGCAGCAGTGATGATGAGATGGCAGCAATGAAGACTGCTGCAGTGATAGACGCAGTTTTAGTGTCCTAGATCTGTACAACTGATATTTGATAGGGACAGATTAGATGTAAATTAATGAAGAATTATATTTAAAATTAAATTGAAACTTAAGTCAAACCTGTAGTTCTAAGAACGGAACGTTGAAAAATCTGTACAAATATTTGAGTCCGAATCCGTCCAACATGGACGCCTCCATGTAGTAAACAGCAGCTGCATCAGATGGCCTGTAAAATGGTTTGATGGCAGACAGTTATTTTACTTCCGGTATTTTGAAATTTACTATACATGTTTTGAATGAATGAAAAACGTTTAATCAACAGTTTTCTTCTTCTATTCCCAGAAAAAAAAGAGACATTTTCCATTTTACCTCTCTAGTTCGGCAATGAAAGATTGCACTTCTTCAGTAAGAACAGCTCTTTTATGCTCCATATCTCGATGACTTGCCTGAATGATAGAAAATTTTAGCTTGATAGTAAGGTAGTGCTTTGAATTTATAAAAACTTAAAATACGGCCGTAATTCTGTAAGCATATACCGCCGGCGAAATGACACAATTTTTAGTAGGATTTTATGACAAATGGGCATATTAAAGTAGAATTACCATGATAATCACAGGAATATCCAATGGAACTTTTCCCAATTCCCTTTGTACGTATTCGTAAGTCCTGAAATAACACCACGTGAATCACCCTTTTATTCGATTCGTTTGACTGAAGAAACATAGTAAATCCTTTGAGCCCATAAATCATAATATTACTATGTAACGTAACTTGACACACTCGCCTCTGTCAGCAACTATAGGATCGCTGTAACCTTTTTGTTTATCGAGGTCAAAATATAAACGTGTACACGAAAAGTCATTCAATTCACGCCATGCAGTGTAATTGTTGCAAGCCATGACGCGCGCGCAACTTTCATCACAAGGTTTTCTTAGAAACTAGCAATGTTAGTTGCCAAATCTGGGATTCAATCAAGATTTCGCGAATGCAGTGAAACGTCATCCTGTACTGGCGTACAGGAACACGTAGCAAGTAAGAATGAAGGCTGCTAACGGTCATTATCAGCAGTGGATCAGGAGGTTACTTACCAATACTTGGTAATATCGAGCATCATGATGACGCCAGACGTTCCTTTGTAGACATCAATAAACTCTGCATCCAGGGTTGGAGCCTAAAAGTAAGGTTTACTTCACACGTTTGATTAAACATGATAGAATAACATGCCTGGCAATGGTCTTATGAGAAGAGTACATTATGTGTATAGTACTCAATACTCATCTTGCACATACAAAATGAGGGAGGGAGGGAGGGGGAGGGAAGGAGGAGGGAGAGGGAGAGGGAGAGGAGAGAGAGAGAGAGAGAGAGAGAGAGAGAGAGAGAGAGAGAGAGAGAGAGAGAGAGAGAGAGAGAGAGAGAGAGAGAGAGAGAGAGAGAGAGAGAGAGAGAGAGAGAGAGAGAGAGAGAGAGAGAGAGAAATTTACCACATCAGCCTCTTCTGTGTCCATCTTTAAGCCGTCCCTTTTTTTAACCTTCCCCTTATCAACAATATCCCATATCTCCACCTTTACAACGTCGTCCGTCACTTAAAATGTGGAATGTAGATTAGAAAAAAATCGTTACCGATATAATTGTAAAACATACGACATATAAATCAGAACAATTTAATATCAATAATGATGATAACAATTCAGGGAATCTAATGAGATAGGGATGTTCACTGTGTATTACAAGTGTGCGATCAGATTCTGTCATATTATATTCACATTTAATCAGCTCAAATAACTAATGTGGTTCAAATGATAGTTTTTTGAATGGTTATCGATTAACGAATATACAGGAAGATCCACAATAAAAAACAATGAATCAAAACAGGGATTGAATAAATACCAAAATCATTTACGTCAACAAAATATATCTTATTGTAGTCTTATTATATAATCATCTTCTTCACAAAAACAGTTCATACCAGCGCCAGACTTCTGATAGCGATTCCCACCTTCGGTACTTATTTTAATACGATCGTAAAAATGTGAACCACAATAACTAATGTAAGACATATATATTTTGGGGTGGCCAAGGAAAAACACTCCTTCGAGATTGGATCTTGAATAAAATCCTCAACAAAAAAACTTGCTTGAAACGATTATGTTAAAACCACACACCTCAAAGCAAAGTAAGTAAATATCAGTTTTAATACTTTCAACACTACTATATAACAAATAATTTGAGCGCTATGTAACCTAGCAGTAACGTTGAAAAGGACTTTGAGGGGGTCTGTAGTCCCCCCCGCATAATATGTTTGTGTTTCACTGATTTGTAAACTGAAGACGTAAATAGGGGTCGTTCACATATTACGTAATCACTTTTTAGCTAATTTTTAACCCCCCCCCCCCCTCGGTAATCATTTTTACACATAGCTTTTGTGTTAAGTCTCCCTTCCCATCAGTAATTACATAATATGTGAACGACCACAATACCACATACCTCAAAATAAAGTAAGTACATACCTTTGTAGTTCCACTGGATACATGCAACTTGTATCTCCTGCGTTGGATTGTACTCGTCCTTGAAGGAATTTCCCTGCAATCTGTGAAACAGACAAGACTTTCCCACATTCCTGTCTCCCTTTATCACCACTTTCACTGAGAAATAAAATCATTATTATGAGGTTTATCACCACTTTCGCTAAGAAATTAAATCAATATCAGACTTCTATTGATTTATCTAAACAACATAATAAAAGAATTTGACTTGTTGTCAATAAGGGACATGTATCAAATGAAAATTAGCGTAAAATTCGACGCGAAAGATCGCGGGTAGATACGAAGCTGTCAAGTGCACGTGATAAAATACTCAAGTTTTAGCAAAATTATAGAATCGTAAATGTTTTTCAGGATTGAGCGGTTCAATTTGATGACGAATTAATTCATTATACTGCCCACATGGAAAAGGATAGCTATAGTTTGTTTGAACGTTTTAACCATGATCGTTGAATAAGGATTAAAATCACAATCTTTTACTTTCGTGAGTAGGTGGGAGAAACGGATTGCCTGTAATAATATCCAAGGTGGACTTCTTGCCGTTTTTCTAAACAATCTACAACTCAAATTGGTACACCAAACTACTAACTAGATCAAAGCGATATTACCACACCTAAAATACGTCAACAGCCCAGAAGCTTCACATCGATACCCTTGTTTTCTTCTTTTTGTAGACAAACAAAATAACTAATAGTTTTCAAGATAATTCGAAAGATTAAGATTAACACAACATATTCACATCACCATAATCATAATATCGCTAACTCGGCATTATCACCCTCCCACATAACAGGGCTCGTCCTCAGGCCCATATATTCGCCTGATACCTGCAACAAATCTTCTGGAGAGTTGAATATAGTTTCGTTTTCAAGGACACACAGAAGCTTAAAGTGAATGTTTGATAATTGGCGGCGTAAGAATGGTAAGCCCCTATGTTCCTCCCGGCACGCTGTGATAATCTGGAATGTCTGGCCAGGTTCCGTGTACAAGGGAATCTTACACCACCCACTGCCGTCTGACTTCCAATTCAAAGCGTAAAGGTAAAAACGGAACGACCCTAAATAGACGTTGGAGCTTTGTCTTTTAAGGCTCACTTCAGGGATTTTATCCCGAGATAACTTTACTCTCATATCAAGTAGGCGTATGTTAAATTTGAAATTACCAGTTTTCTGGCCAGCAAAAAGATTGATTTCAATTAATTGGTCCCCGAATATAACATTTTCAATATTCAAATCAGTTTGTTCAAGAAGGTCACTCATGTCACAAGATGTAGCAAATTCAGCTGCTTCTTGACATTGTGGGGTCCACAGCTTCAGCAAGGTTGCCTCTTGTATAGACTCTACATATAACTTCAAGGAACATTTCCTGGTATTTCCAGTTAAATTGAGAATAGCTTGCACCAAAACTTTTCCAACAACGTCCAGATTATCCGACGATTTGTTCACAGATATCCAAGAAAGAAGACACTCTATCAAACAAAACTGGTCTGATTTATCTCTAAATACTGTGGGAAGCAGCGAAATTTCATCAGCTTTGAGAACTTTCCAACTGGAGTACATGCTGCCACTTTCTTTTACGCACGTAAGTGAGTGAACTTTTGCCATTTTCTCGAAAAGTGTTGTCTTGTATCTGCTCAGTTGTTTGTATTTTGTGAATGAGATATTATCAAAATCTTCTATCTTCTCGAATAGCTCCTCGAATTGAGAACGGGAACACAAAGACATGGCATTCGAAACATCTGAAAAATCCAGGGAATGCAGGAAGATATTATAATTGGATTGATCTATGATTCTCTTGACAAAAGGGAGATGGCCAGGGATAAGATCTTTGTGCATTAGCAAGGCTATCAGCTCATTTTTATCGCAGACTTCTGACATAATCCACTCATTGCGCTGTCTAGGTCTCTGTACCTCTCATCATCACTATCAGGGAGGATCATTTTCGGAATGTTTTCACCTAGAAACAGACGGCAAGGCTTGTAAATTTCCTGCATGAATTCCAAATTATCATCATGAAATCTAAAGAAATTATAAGCTTTAGCAGCAACCATAGACCCGTTGATAAACGTGCTGATGTAGTCCAAATCCAATGTTTCGAAGTTAAGCATCCAGTCCAATATCTGTCTCCGTGCTACTGGAATGTCAAAAGCAGTCATGAATTTCAGTATATCTTGAAAGTTATCCAGGGTAATGCTAACTGAGCCACCGTAGAGAATGTTCAGACATTCTCGTACGTGTTTGTTGTCATCCAGAAAAAGCTCATTATCTTTCATCACGTAATCTCTCAGGACATGGCTGTGTTGGGACAGCAGTATCCCGCTGCACTTGATGACCTCAGTTTCCGTCACAACTTTAACTTGGTCGTTGAACATATCGTACTCCAGGAAACTTGTGTAATCAGTGTTGAAATTATCTAGTTTGACAGTCATCGCTGCGCTCTTTCTAGTTTCGGCAGAACAAGATCAAGGTGGCTATACAGTTTGAAGCTTCGCAAACAACCGTGCTAAGTCCACAACACACGAGGAAATACCGAATAATTCACAAAATAAAGGTTGGGGATAATGCTTGTCATATGATATTATCTTAACGAAGGCTGTGTCATATTACTGTCTACTGAATCACATGTTTTGAAGTTTAATATCCAGTCCAAAATCTTTCTCCGTGCTACGGGAATGTCAAAAGCAAATGTCAAATTTCTTATTCTGTCGGAGGAGCGAAGATAAGTTCAAAAATCGAAACACGTACGCTATTTTCATTTCTACACAATAATTTGTAAAATATAAATTGATAGCGGAGGGGCCTAAAAATTACAAAAGGCAAAAAAGGGCACTCAGGATATAAATTTGCTTCAATGGTCTTTTCATTAAACGATCAGCATGACAGGCGTTTTATTTGCATTAATTATTAATTATTGCCGCCACATTGCGATTATTGAAACCTAAAACATTTACATTACAATTTATGATTGTAGTTGTACCATTGCTACCTACAAAGAATGGATAACAAACTCACTGTTATATTGAATGCCTTTAGAGAATCTCTTCTGTAAGTTGGGTCCAAGTGTGCTCATGCCGTGCGGCACCGCGGCACCATTACCCGGCACCACAGCACCAGTGCGCGACTGTTCAGCACCCATTGCAGGAGTCCAGTAACGGGAGGGTTAGTTGGTTTGGACTTTTACATTGCTGACATTCCTACAGTGGAAAGTGTTGTGAGGTAACGGAGTATTAATGCTAAATTAATTTGTTATTTTCGTCATCATCTGTTAAGAATCTTTAGATGAAATTAATATAAATCTTTGAAAATTATTTGCAATTTTTGCCAACGATTGCGAAGAATTTGCGAGAACTGAATGTTACTAGATTCAATCAATGCAATGGTGATGTCTCCCGGCCCCCACCAACTAATACCTCGGTGACTTTAATGAAAAAGTAAGAGACGCCTCGCTTGATTTATTAGCTTATACAGATGGGTAAGTTGTATAAAACTATCCAAACAATTTAATAATATTATAGCAACAAATTGGCCAACAGTTGTGCACAACAGAATAGAAAATGAAATAAATTACAAATACAATGAAATAGAACAAAAGTCGTGTTCTCTAGCTATAGTAAAAAGTTCACAAGATGCTTTAAATAGATCGTTACATAGAAAACATCACACTCAGGATCACCTTATGTACCACCTGGTCGATGGTTTTACCACCTGGTCAATGGTTTACCACCTGGTCACTGGTTTTACCACCTGGTCAATGGTTTTACCACCTGGTCGATGGTTTTACCACCAAGTTTTACCACCAAGTTTTACCACTTGGTGACCTGGACCCTGGTGCTCTAAAACAACTCCAACCTCTCCTCATGCCTAGCTATCAACTGCAATGTCCGCTCCACGCTAGATAACCCACTATTCCCTTCATTAGAATCAAGTGTTACAGTGCTATTACTATTAGAATTAACAGTAACTACTTCAGTATTATCATTATCGTTACTGTTATTTCTCTGATATTTACTGAGACCGGTGGCATCTGTTTGAGAGTGAAGTGTTGTTTCTGTGTTACTGGTTACATTAGGTGGTGTTGTTGGGTTGCAGGGTTGCTGGAACTTTTTTAGTCTTTTCCGCCGAGTTTGGGAGGATTTGTCTTCGTCAACACGCATTCTGAGGAATTAAGCTGTCTATTTAAAGCCGTGTGTTAACCGGCGTTATGTGATCATCGACAGATTATGAGATTACCGAATAGCCGATTTCGCATCATTATGAATTAAAATTTGAAATCACCATGGTTCGTCTTTTATCTTATCGCCGGCTGTGCACGTTGAGATAAAATGAAATATAAAACCAACTTAAAAATCATGAGTAGCTCTTATCAAGCAGGAATACTTGTCACTTGTCAGTACTCTCTGACTCACCTCTTTGCTTGTTTGTTGAGTATCTGTTCGGAAAGAGACACTCCAGAGGAGGAGGCCGCAACACCGACACACCGCCCATAGTGTGGTGACCCCACCCCAGCTGGTGGTGTCCCAACCCCACCACCACATTCCTCACGCCACTTGTCTATCCTTTCTGTTAGGGTGGTGTGATGTATTGGCCGGCACTCCGCACTAAACGGCATACCAGTGAATGGGTCTGAACTTTCTCGGCCCCATTTTAACCCTGCCGCTGTGTGCTTGTCAACCGTGCTGAAAGTAATGATTTACATGTTGATTCCTCAAATCAGGCTCTCTCTCTGAGCTACTTGTTTTTCAAGTGGTCACCTCCAACTCGGTTTCATGTAGACTATAATAGAGACTGTCCTCAAGATTATTGATACGTAAACAGACTGCTTAATCTAACTTAAATCAAAACAATGGAATATTGTCAATCGTCAGTTTTAGCTACTACATTTTGAAAAGTTTAACTTCCAGTCGACCGCATATTCATAAGTAGTCAACCTTTTTTGCTTGTTATTGCTCAGTAAGTACTAAACTGTTGCTAGTTTTAATATCTTCATCACTCTTAGAGTAGGAAGTCTTTCATCGCTATCGGCAGCTCCTTTGCAGTTTGCACTAGCCGAAAGTTTTAACCTTTATATTCGAATAAAACATTTTTAGAGCTCCTACTAAAAGAAGTAGATACACAATGGTTTTCAGTTTAGTGCATTGTTTTCTCCGATATTACGAATGGAGTATGGCAAGCATCTCCGCCGTTAAAGTGCAGCCATACTCTGGAACGTTCAATCTAAAATTAAAAAGCTGCATGCTAAACTAGAATTAGATTAGTCGCTTGTTTCGTCTATAGGTATTGCTACTCTTTCGTATCTAGATATGTATTGGTTGCAGCAGTGCTGGCGATGTTCTTGTGACTTTTCCGTTTTAATGAACCTAAAAATCTGGTAAAAACGTTTTTACCAGGACTCCTGAACGATGGACAACAAAGAGATCTTATTCTTCAGAAACAATCTCAAACGGACAATTCTCTCCCAGTCCCGGTACCTTTGCCCCAGAAAAAGAGTCCAGCCTGCCACGAAGACCCTCTACACTTCACAAAGCGTACCCTTGCTTCCTGGATCTTGTAGGAACATCCTACCAGGCAGTTCGTTACCAAAATCCATCAGTTCAGAAAGTGATGACTTCAAATCTGCCACATCCCTTACAACAGAGATCAGCCGGAAGACAGGGTTGGCAAGGAAGTGTCTGAAAGTAACAATACCAACTGCTCGACCATGGTCCTGCTACTCTGATGACAGTTCATTTCAGTCGTGCTATTCATCAGACAGCAAATCTTGGAATAATCTCAGTCCTGTTTACATAACAAAGCCAAGTCATAGTGTGACGTCATCAAGCCGCCAAGACACGTCATCAGAACACCCTGTGACGTCATCAGATCGCCGAAACACTTCATCAGGCCAAATTGTGACGTCATCAGATCGGCGAAACACTTCATCAGGCCAAATTGTGACGTCATCAGATCGGCGAAACACTTCATCAGGCCAAATTGTGACGTCATCAGATCGGCGAAACACTTCATCAGGCCAAATTGTGACGTCATCAAACTCAAGCACATGGGGAAGTTTTGCGGAGGAAACACCGGACGATTTCAGGGTTAGAAGAGAATCAGAGAAACGGTTATCAGTGGGTTTGGGAGAGGGGAGTGTTAGATCTGACGACAGTAATCAGCTGGCCAACGTGATATCGGGGGTTTGTTTGCTGGACTCTCTGGAACAAATGAGTAACAGGGGAAACAGGGGGTTACAATTTGCAGCTCCTATTAAGGGTGTAAAGTCTGTGTTACACAGACAAATACCTTAGGTGTTCTCTGTTACGCAGATATTCTGTGTTACATCGTGACCGTATCGAACCCAGCTGAGGGTTAATTTGATAGAGGAGTGGTGGGAAATGTTTAAGGAGTAAGGAGAACGGTGAAAATGTGGGCCCCGAGACGAGGTTTTATGAATGTTAAACGAAGTGAAATACGTGGAGAGATAGTTTAACTTACCTTGAATCGACGACATTGCCACTGGGTAATATTACTGGACATGCCATGACATGTCGGGTGATGGCATCTAGAAATTCCTCAGGAACAGAAGTTGTACTCGTTGTGCTCTCGGAATGTGAAGTCTCTGATTTAGTTTGAAGTAATGAACAGTGTGGGATTATTCTAGCTTTCCTTTCTTGTTGAGATTTTTCCTGTAAAAGAATAAAATTGACGAAAGCCCTTTGTTAAAAAACCCTATTGTTTAAAAAAGTGTATTTATGGAATGGAAAACTTTTAAACGGCCGGAAAACAATTGCCGAAACCTCTTGATGCACCTAGTGCACATTTTGAACGATTACCTTTTTGATTTTATCTTTAACATCCTCAACTAACTTTTCGATGTCTTTCCGTGTAATGTTTTCTAAAATGTTAAATGAATACAAATATCTCTGAATATCTTGACACAGTCAAGAAAAGCAAATGAATCCTCGCACAATCATGAACCAATCAACGACCACACATCCTCATCTCTCTCATGAGTCATAACAATAAAATCGTTAACCCTCCAACGACACATACCTCTATTAAGATAAGCCCTGCTCAAAACGCCTACACCCCCAAATATTCTGAGTCCCCTCAAGCACCGGTCCTGTCCCATGGTCTGCACCACAATCCTAACACACTGACACGCCCTGGTGTCACGTGACTCAGATAAAGGGAGGATGGGAGTGTCTCTGGGGAGGTGATGAGAAGAGAGGGTGGAGGAGGAGGATAGGATGATGGTAGAGGAGGTTGGGCTGAGCGGACAGGTGGAGATAAGGGACATGGGGAAGGGTCTGGTGGTCTTTGTTACAGCAGGGATGTTCTGAGATACCCACACTTGAGCCTGAAATAGCGTTGTAAGAGTGTTAGTATAAATATAAAATAAATAATGTTGTCCTAGGGTACAACTTAAAGTAGTCATTATTAAGACTCAGTACTCACTGTGCGGCGAGAGTGGGCTTAAGAGCACTAAGTTATATAATTCAATTCCAAAAAAGTACAATTAAGTCAGTCAAGTATGGATCTATAGCCTATAACATTGCATCTAAACATTATCTTGCAAGTTGCACTTCGTATAGCAAAAACTTCAACTGTCAGACACAGCTTCTATGTTGTGGTCTGGCGCTAAACTTATTGTTGTCTGGCGCTAAACTTGTTGCTTAACTTGAGTTTAAACTACTATTAAAACTGTATTAGCAATCATCTAATTTTAAAATGTATCCGTTTTAACATCTAGTAGTTGAATATCACCTGGGTGGGTTTCGAAGTGGCTGTAGTGAACTGAACTGTATACAAGGTAACAGGGAAGGGGAATATAACATCAACTGCTATGATACCACCAATATACAGGGCCGGCTTGTACCCTGAGTTTGGAAATGTCAAGACATGAAAAAACTTGATGACTCATCAACTACAAAATACAAGTAATGTAACATGGACAATGCAATAATACATCTCAGTTTTCGACACGTATTTTAAAGTATAAGTAAGTTGGGAATATAGTGCTATGTATTATAATGTACATCACAACAAAAATTGAACGCAACAAAAATTGAACGACACGTCAGGTAAATGAAAACTTATGGGAACAGTGGAGGGTGTAAATTTGTCACGTGTCAAAACAAATTTGTTGGCCCACCCAATCAGCTTCAAGTCCGGAAAGTTAATAATATTCTAACCTGTATCTCGTTTGTGGGGGTCAGTACTGATAAGGTTGTTTATCACATGAACATCATCATCCAGAGCGCTAGCTCTAACAGTAGTTCCAAGCCTTCTATCGCACAAGTCTATCATGTGACAATAGAAAGATACATAGAGTCTTGAAATAAAAGAGTTAGGGATTTGAAATTCTGGGTTGTCCTGACTTATATTTAACAGTGTACAGTGCACACTGTGTACAATGTACACTGTACACGACCTCGTGTATGGAATGTGTAAGGAATGCAGCAATTAAATTTTATAGAAGTTATGGTTAATAAATGCAATGAAACATTGTCTTTTGTGGTATAATGTAATGAAAATTCATCCATATCTTTTATCAACACTACAATCTCCATCGATGTTAAACCAGAGAAACTTCAGATAAATAGTTAAGATAAATGAAAGAGCTTGATTACAGTGACTTGCAGCGTATCTGTGAGGGCGGGATACCGGGTAGTGTTCACAGTGCTAGTTTAACATCACCACCAGGCTTAAAGGCGGGCTGACCAAGGAAGGGACAACTGGCGCACCTGAACGCATCTCCCAAATAACAACTGCCACACGCTGACTTGAACTCTGGAGCAGGAGCCCCCGACAGTTCCTCCGCAAAACCACAACTACAGTTCTTACACGCTTTCTTCTTATCGCTTTTAGGCCCACATTTGTAGGTGGTTTTGTTGGGTGCAACTTTGTCTTCTTCAGTTAACAAATCGTCCGGATCTATGAGGTCGTCCAGATCGTCTTCAGTGTCTAACTTCCACACTTTTGGGGCTGATTTTATTGCTGTGGATGTCCCAAAGGCAGACGCTGGTGATTTAGCGATTGTAAGTGTCTGAGAAATTTGCTGCGAGTCACTGAATCCATTAATCAACAAGTCTAAGGATAAAGAAGAATTATCACCATTGAAAATAGCAATTACTCCGCTAGGTTTCATGGATTTCTGGATCAACTCATAGTCTACATCTTTCTCTGCCCGAAACAATCCCAGAACAACAACATTATACAGTGTATCTGATGCGGCCAATCTCTCCAAAAGTTCGAATGATACTGAAATTCCCTCGAGGGAGGACATAGCATGCTGTAGACTGTCTACAGTTACATCTGCGGGTCTTATCACAAGTACTGTGGAGTTGGGGTCAAGATGCGGCTTCAAGGCTTCCATGATCTGTAATTTAATGGTTAAGATGACAGGTTTTGTTTATCATATTCTAGAATTTAGGTAATCAAAGCAGCGAAAACCTGTCATAAATGATTGTTTTTTTTTTCAAGTATGATTTAGAATTTTAAATACGTTTATAAATTTGAGAATTAATTAAGATCTGAATGCATTATATCTGGAGGAATGTTGTCAATGTTATACAAGTATTATAGTGTTCATGTGGTGAATCAAATACAACAATACAGTCAAAATTTAGAAATTCTGTGTTATAAAGTCCGGGACAAAGAAATAAAATCATATCTACCCATGTGCTTGTAAATTAGCTTAATTAATTCTATAATGTAGGAACATTAACTCACTCAATCGGATGAATCCCAGTATGACAACTAATGTCTGAATCAATTGAAAATCGACCAGCTCAGATGAAATACGTGATTATAGTTACACTAAATACTCAGTCATTTGTATACAACTTCGACACATCCTCATAAGGAATATCAGTAACCGTCCTCCCTTTGCAAACCCCTGAACCAATAGTCACGTCCACAGTAAAGTCGTCAACATTCAGTTTATCAAGAATTGCCCTGGAGCCCTCGTAGGCACCGTTTAAGACAAGAATCTTTCTGCCAACTTGGGGTATGACAGTTTCCAAATGAGACTGATCTAATTTCACCTTCTTTCCAGTTTTTATGACTTTCACTTTAGCACCGTATGTATCAAATACTTCTTCGATAACACATTTTGCTTTGTAGAAATCTTTTCCCAAATCCTTAGCAACAATTTTTACTACAATGTTTTCAGCAAGCCAGGAGTCTTTCTTCTTTTTCCGCTTCTTTCCCGCCTCATTTTCAGCCATCAGCTCTTCTATAGCAGACCTCTTCTTCTCGCCACTCTTTTTTGGCTTGCTGCTGTGATTACTTACTTTATCACTATCAACCTGCAAAGCATTATTTTTTATCACAGGTTCCACTTTTAGTTTCCTGGGTCCGATAGATTTGGGCATAGCAAACACCACCTTTTCCTCACTCTCTTCGTCTCTTTGCAGCACTGTGCTTACAGATGGACCAGCATCAGTGTTGTGAGCTTTAGCACGCTCCATCTGTTCCAACAGGAACCTTTCTTGTCGTTCCTCGTCAGTTGATGCCATCTTGTTCTTTTTCTCTGCTCTTGCTATAGCTTCAGGGTCTTTATCTATGTAAGTTACAAACCAACCTTTCTCTGTGTCATCAGCCTTCACAATACCCTCTCGACCAAGCCATTTAACAAATTCAGTTAAAGTCTCCCACTGTGTTGAATTCATATGAATATGTTCTCGGTCAGCGATGTACTCTTGGTACGCATGATTCGCATTGACTCGACGACCATTAAACCGCCTTTTCAACAAACCAACATACTCATCTTTGAACTCTAAAGAAAACTGATCGAGATAAGAGTCTGAGTTATCTGCGAAGAGAAGCAGCTGGCGTTGATGGGACTCAGACAAAGTGTGACACTTAAATCCGTTCTCGTCTCGACACTGTTTTTGACACATTTGACAATAGAATTTTAGTTTCTGCAAACCTTTCGATTTTATTCTGTTGCCTATCGCTTTCGGTGTCATGAATCCGTGTTTCCCCATTGCTTGAACTTGCCTAAAAAGGAGAATTAATTAGAAATGGTGAATGGATTTATAGTTATGTGTTATAATAATACATTTTTGATTTGATCATAAGTACCTAATGTGTGCGTTGTGAGATGCATTGAACAAAATTAGAAGTTAATCTGCAAAGATAGGCGTTTTAAACTGTGAAGCATGAAATGTATGATAGTGAAATAATGATAAACAAATCTTATTGTTCAAACTTTAGTTTCAATCAAATCTTGACAATTGACGTGATATAACTTACCTATCTAATAAAATCAGCATCTACATAAAGGTAGCAATAAAAATATATTGATTATGATCATCTCAGAAACTTAAATCATAAAAATCATTCGTCAATCTGAACAGTTAACATAATAAAATACTAAATTTAGAAACACCAACTTTAAAAACAGCAGTATGCAAGGTGTACTTTCCAATAAATTATAAAGATTTGTGTGCGTTTTAAATCAAATACGATCCCCAAGTTTAATTAAGAGAATGTTGCAGTTGTCAATTAATTGAAGCTTCAGTTTTCTCTTCTAAATATTTCTGGACAAGAGGCCATATCACATTCGTTTCTGTTCCAGAGAATGAAATCACTTTGTCTTGGTCACTGAAAGGTTGAGATTTTATCAGTAAATAACAACACACTACCCAATACCCATGCAATAATTATTCAACCGAATTGAATCATACCTTAGCATTCTTTGAGTTTCCAATAGTTTCAAGACTTAGAATGGTATTTTAGAATTATTTCACAGTCTAGTTATAGGAAACAAATGTACAATTTCGTTCTTACCTTACTCGGGAATATTATGACTGGGATAAAGTGGTGGGTTTTGGAAAATTCCGCCATATTTTTCCCGGTCATTAATTTTCCCATTCATAAATTAACCCGCTATAATGTTCCCGAGTAAGGTAAACTAATAGTAATACATTTTGATGCTTGGTGGGTTTTGGAAAATTCCGCCATATTTTTCCCGGTCATTAATTTTGCCAGTCATAAATTAACCCGCTTTAATATTCCCGAGTAAGGTAGGTGAAATCAAAAAGGGGTTAATAATTAAAGCTATATCCACCTGTAATAATCGAGCAAGGGCTTTGTCATGTTTGAATACAGCTCCAGTCGGTTCTGCACTGATTCAGGCTGAAGTTATGGCCATTGGCCAACCGTTATTTAACATGTAAATTACATACGATTTTGTGAATGAATTTTCAGAAAATCATAATAATAAGATGAGCCAAACTTATAATTTTTAAAATACCTAGTTGTAACAGCCTATAATAATCAAGGTGGAAACTCTGAGAGTTCTTTCAGAAACTGGTTTTCCACCAACATTGTGTCAGCTTACTTCATTGTTAGAGTATGTATCTGGATCATTATTGCTTAAATATTTTCCATAAAAGTCGATCATGCATTGAATTATCTGTGTACAATACAAAATACCTTATCATCTTCTCTTTGCACAAGGTCTTCACCAGTAATGTCATCTTTACCCTCGATGTTTGGTGCATTAAAGTCTAGATTATAGGTTCTACCACTACCGGGGTGGATCCATCTTTTCTGAAGAGATTTTACGCGTATCATTAACTGTCTGATCAGTTAGAAGTTTTCAAAATAACAATAAAATTCATAGGGATACCCAGTTCAAAGTGTTAAATCGGTATAAAATGCACATTAAACCAATCATCTTAGTGTAAAATTTGTGGACTTTCACGATAAATAAAATCAATTTAATAATGGAACTTATGTAAGGTGGTCTACAAAGTAACAACGAACAACATTGTAAAGTTACTCACTGAAATGCGGTCAGTAATTGTTTCAAATGGAACATCGAGATTCAGCACCATATCCACATTGTAATTTCTATCAAGTTCTTCGGCTTGTGAGACTGTCCTTGGATACCCTAAATATGATGTACATTATTAATATAAGTGAAATTCACCTTCTTATATGGAGTCTAAATTCCCTGAAGAGCAGGAAGCAAATAATGATACCTTACTCGGGAATATTATAACCGGGATAAAGTGGTGGGTTTTGGAAGATTCCGCCATATTTTTCCCGGTCAAAAATTTTACCAGTCATAAATAAACCCGCCGACTCAGATTATGGGGTTCCAAGGGGGTGGTGATCATCATATATTTTACCTGAAGTCTCATATGTGCTAGAGAAGACTTTTGAAGCAGTGGATGGAGGGCTGTAACTTTATTGGCGGTTGCTACCATAATTTGGTTATAAAAATCACAATTTGGTTATAGAAATCAGATTTCAGGGTGGACCGTGAATCTCACTTCTCTTGCCCATGAATCAGTGAATTGTAGAAAAGACAACAATTTATATGTTATAGAAGAAAAAGAAAATAATAATAATATATAATATATATTATAATAATAATGTCTCTAAAGATTGATCGCTTCTCGTGTGCAGTGTGTAGAATAAAGAAAAAGGGAGTTTTTCCCGTTAAAGTAACTTGTGGCCACATCCCGCTAGAAGTGAGTAAACTGTGCCACTATGTCATGGTCCACGGTGGATTGATTACTGGAGCAGTTGAAGATGCAAAGCCAAGACGTTCCCCAATACCAAGCGGTGGGCAGGAAATTAAGCTCCGGCTGACCTTCAGAGCAGTAGCCCCATTAGCGGACAAAATGAAAGTCTTGTTAAGACAACAATACAACTTCGAATTTGACGGTCAGCAGCTCAGGGGGATATCAATAATGATAATGGCGGGGACATTAGCGATAATGAGAATGAGAATACGCTTTAATGAAGATTTGACTTATTATTGCTTAGATTTATTTTCCTTTAAATAGACGTGTCTTTTTTTTCTATTTCTGAGTAATATCAATAACTGTAAATTGAAATAAATTCTTTAACAAGTAACAAAAACAGAAATTTCGGTTGAAAATTTGTTGACTTCTGAAAAAAAACTTGAAAGGTCGGCCACCGGTAAATACATGACCGGGATAATTTGGCGGGTTTTGGGAAAGTCCGCCATATTTTTCCCGGTCATTAATTTTCCCAGTCATAAATTAACCAGCTATAATATTCCCGAGTAAGGTAATATAATAAAATCATAAAATGGAGAAATAAAAAAATCCTCCACTGGCTTAAGTAAAAGAAATGATACCTTCCAACTTTCGAGAATTAATTCAAACCATCTAGTAGCCAGCTTTTTTCTCCAATAGACTTCAACTCAGCCAGAACAACTTTAGTAACTAGATTATCAGGAACAAGGAGTCCACTGCTTGTGAACTTTTTCGCTTCAAGTCCAAGCTCTGTGTTACCACTGGATGATTAATTTAATTAATTCATTTTGGCTAATCTAGTAATTGCTTGGTTAGAGTATACCATTTACAAGTAGTGCAAAAATTCTTGCTAACCGGCAAATATATGAGATTTTATCCTTCACTGTACCTGATATGATGTCTCAAAATGTCTCCACTGCTAATATGATTTAAGCTGAACTTTTTGACTATACGAGAGCTAACAGTTCCCTTGCCTGTGAAAGAATATTGCATTTTAGTCTATGATCATTGCAATTGGTCAAGGTTATATTATCAATTAAATAAAAGTTCTTAAATGCTCAATCACGTGAGTTAATTGAATTATATAGATTTAGATCAATAATAATATGCATATGTTCAAACCTGATCCAGGAGGTCCCATAATGATGGCTTTAATCAATGATAAAGGTCTGGGAGGCATTGTAGCCAATAGAATGATAATAACTTTATAAAGCCACACCTATTGGAAAACATCAATTAATGATTCATTCTTGGTAAGTCATCATGTAGCTTGCAAATAACATCGAACCATTTAAAGTTAACTAACAAATTTATTTTCTTGTAAACAATTGATTTGGTAATATCCTGCCCATTATGCTTACAAATATGAATAATGGTGCTTATGACAGAGAAAGAACATGACAATTCAAGATAGTTAACAAACCAGCAAATTAACTGATATTGTCCAAAAAACGGTATATTATGAATATCGAAATTGATATGAAAATCAAAATTGAAATTATAAAAAAGAGATACATCAGCCATTCAAGCAAGACCAGAGGCGGCTTGTGTGACCTAGCTGGCGGTTTACTAGGGCGTGGACGGACTCAGGGTTTAAAAAAAATATCAAATGAATAATACAATACATGCATACGCCACACAACAAACTAAAACGAAATGAGTGTAAACTGTAAAGTGTAACCAAACCAAATACCAATATTTCTCTTGCAAGAGAACACCACATGTGCTACACATCAGCCACGCAAGACACCTAAGTATCTTTGTATCCTTGTATCCTTGTATCCTTAAATTCTAGTATCCTAGCATGCTAATATCTTTGTATCCTTGTATCCTTGTATCCTGGTATCCCTGTACCTTTTTACTACAACTATAAAAAGTATTCAAACAATATGTACACACAATATCACTGTGTAGTACACATTTCCCTTCTAATATTGACTGAACTACTTGAAATTCACAATTGACCTTGTGGCTCTAAATTTAAGTGGCTCTAGAATATCTACAAAGTTCTTTCTTGCATCTCTGTCTCCCCGGAGAGAAGTTACTGTTGTACTAAGGATTACAAATCGAAGATGCTTCCTTATACAGTAAAACCCCTATAAACCGCGCCACGATTTACTGCAAACCCTGATATACCGCAGACATTTCCTTTCCCCCAAATAGGGCTAAACATACATAATGTAAACCAAATTAAAACCCAATTTACGGCGGACCCCGATTTAAATAAGAGTTTTACTTATATCCTTGAACCGTATTTGATATTCCATCTTACTGGCCAGCTTCTTCGCCAGTCTTTCCGCACGTGTAGTAGTGGTTGCTCTATCCAGAGCCCTTGCGCTTGCAGTGGCGCGCGCCCGCCTCACGGCGGTAAAAACTTGACTTGTGGAACAAGCGCGCCCGCAGTGGCGCGAAAGCACATGGTTAGGTGAATAGTAGTGCAGTAAAAATAGCAGAATTAGATATAAATTTGGAGCCAGTTCTTTAAACTGGCTTACTTATATAATAATTATTCAAACAATATACACATAATATAGCAATGACCCTATATAAAATCAACCCTTTAAGAATTCAAAAAATTCCCTTAACAATTGGCTTACTTATACTACTTGAAGGGTGTTTATAAATTTTATTTAGTTTTCTATTGAATTTATATTGAATTTTTATATAGGGTAATTGTTATATTATGTGTATATTGTTTGAATAATTTTTTTGTCTTTCCGCTTCACTACCCATTCCACGAGATGTTGAGAAAACTAACGTTGTGAAGCTTTCTTTCTCCACTTCGAGAACTCTTCGTTTAAACACCGTTTTTTCTCATTTTCATGGGACTGGTACATTGCTGGGATCGATTAGCTTGCAATGGTGGAGGGGGCTGAGGTATGGAACAACCTAACGTCATAATATGGCCTCTCTGAAGCATTCCAAATTGATCATGCAGAAATGTCCAACCTAGCTTGGTTTACTATATTCTACAATTGTTCCCTTTTTTTTTTTTCTTTTTTTTTTTTAAGAAGGAAAATTATTCAAACAATATACACATAATATAGCAATGACCCTATATAAAATCAACCCTTTAAGAATTCAGAAAAATTCCCTTAACAATTAAAAATTACCCTTGGCCTTGTGGCTCCAAGTTAAGATCTAGACTGTTTATATCAACAATATTTTTTCTCGCACCTCTGTCTCCACGGAGATAAATCACTGTTGTTCTGAGGATTTCAAAGCGAAGGCGCTTTCTTATGTATCCTACGGCGTCTGAGTATCTCTGGCCAGTGTGGTAATCCATCTTACTGGCCAGCTTCTTGACCAGTCTCTCAGCTTCACCACCCATTCCACCAAAAGTCGAGAACACTAAAGGTGTGAAGCTTCCTTTCTCCACTTCAAGAACCCTTGCATTGTAACATTGTTCCCTTTTAGTCAGTGTAATAAGAAACAAGCGCGAGCACAAAATTTTTTCCTCCGATTTTGATAAATTTGGCATCAAAAGTTGCTTCTAAGTGTGAATAATGCAAATTCACCGTAAAGCACGATAACGTCGACCTGTATGTGGGCCTTTTGTGCAATTCAAGAGTGTAAAAAGGACGAAAAACAGGTAATTTTTTGCTTAAAATGCACATAACTTCTAAAATATTGAATATTTTGAAATAATTTTACCGAGAAAAACAAAATAATTGTAGCGCGATGCGTTATTGTGCCCCGCCTCTCTAGATCGGCGAGATGCGCTACTGTGCCGCGCCGAGCTGAGATGAATTGACATCGTCAATTAAATTCACCTAACCATGTGCTTTCGCGCCACTGCGGGCGCGCTTGTTTCACAAGTCAAGAAAAGCACCTATCCACGAACCCCGATGGGAAGGTTCGTGCGCGCGCGTGCAGTGCTGACAACAGCGTCTATGTAGCGAAGGAAGTCTTGGCACTTCTCCCTCCAGTATTTAGTAACCACTTTTCAGGTTTCTATAATGCACTGTGACCGTGTATAGGGGTTAATTAGGTATAAACTACAATACAGCTGTACTTACACCTACATTCACAAGCATGCAAGCTCACCTGGTCCAATAGCGGGAAACGGAGGACAAGGTCTGGTGACGTCATAGTCACGTGACCTCATAGGCTCATAATTAGGTGACCTCAGACCCAATCAATGATCAATTAGGTTTGAGCATGGTCAGCCCCCTGTCATCCGATCTTTAGGTGACGTACGACACCTCGTTTACACAATCAATGTCTAAAAGGCTACACACGTTGCATATGAGGACAAAAGCGCGGGAAATTTTGGCACCACTGTACAGTGGTGCCAAAATCGTTGGGTGGGTTCATGGCTAGAGCCCTTTTTACCGCCGTGAGGCGGGCGCGCGCTACTGCAAGCGCAAGGGCTCTGGATAGAGCAATCAATTAAACAAAATTAAAAAAAAAGAAAAACAAAATGTTTATTTACCTAAGAACAATCAATAAATAATGTTATATTCAGTAAGTATAAATTATGACATAACATCTTGTCATACGTTGTATGACCCGCCGCGCACGAGTGCGCGGCTCCCCCTGTATGATCGTGAAACGACCGTGGGGGTCGCAACGTGATACATGATACAAATATAAATAACATCATCACTAATTTTTACAAAGTATCATCACACTACATGGAAAAATAACTATTTCATACTTATCTATCAAATTTAAAGGTAATAATTTATTAAATATTAATCATGAATAAAAAATAACATTAAACAATTTAGTTTATTCATACTTCCCAGTGGAGTAAATATTTATAAAAGGTTTTTTGTTACATAAGGATGAAACCATAAATAATCATTGTGTATTTCCTTATTATTCATAAATAAAGTAAAATTCGAATTTCAACGATATATACCTAGCCCGCCGCGCACACAGCACCACATGACATTGTTGAGAAATCCTTCTGCCTTAGGTACGGATATGATATAAGCGCCGCGCGCAGCGAAGGGTCTATTCAATTGTTATATTACAATTACATGTCCAATGTTACATTTATTAATGTGACATGGATCGTAATAATGCGGCAGGATCGTAATAAGCTTAGTTTTAAAGCAATTCCTTTCCTGATAAATGCATTTTTCCTTGTCGCATCAAATAAAATGTCCACGAGATCAATACAAATGTACACAAGAATACATCGCATTGTAATAAGTTTAGTTATTAAATGCAACTACAAACTGAAACTTTTGGTACCAAAATTATATATATATATATTTCGTTGCTGTACTCCTACACATTAAAAGTCGGCGTTGATTAAATCTTCGAAATTCTTTGCATCATTTATTAAACATCGTTATCTCAATAAATGTAATAGATTTGTAGTGTTGTAATTAGTTTAAATATAGTTTTATATATATATACTTACTTTGGTTACTTTGGTTACTTTGGTGTGCTTCATAGAATCCTCTATCGGGTCATCAGATCAGAGTTGCTGACCACCCGGACAGCGAGATCGCTGCCTTTATTCCACTCTAGTCCAGTAACGAGTTCCCATTTCGACAGCTGTATCCTGCCACTATAGTCTCATCCGGGAATGATTTCACAAACGTGGTAAGCATTTCTTTAAAGTGCAGTGGATCTTCGATAGTATGCATGTTTGGTGGGATTAAGTTCCACAATCGAGGTCCAAATACTGCATAAGAATTGACGTAGAGCGTTTGGCTGCGCTGACTGCTAGATTTATTCAGAGTGGGAATAACTGCCTTTTGGCTGTGTCAGAGTGTTGCGGAAAACTGGATGTTGACATCATTTGGGCACTTTCCACATGTGGATGATAGTATGTCGTTCTCTCCTCCGTTGCAACGATATCAAATTTAAGGCCTTGAGTCTCTGCCAGTAGTTTAGATGCTGTATGCCATCTATTCTCGTTGTGAACGTACGCTGATCCCCTTCCAGTTGTTGGATGTCTGCACTCTTGGAAATATTCCATAAGGGGCAACAGTACTCGAGATGGCTTCTGATGAGAGATTTGTAAAGGGTCAGCATGGTGACTTTGTTCCTCGTTTTAAACGCACTCAAAACCCAAGCAGCAACTTTGCGAGCACGTTCGTGATAATATTATTTAAATCTTCTGATATTAGTACTAAAAGTTTTTTCTCGATGAGCTGTCAGCTGATTGCCATAATAATTATTCCGTAATAACAAAAACTGTGGAAGTTATAATCCAAAAACTAACAAGAATTGCGCCCGTTGTTTTGTTTTGGCGGACGCTAGATTTCCATTTCACATTTACTATAAATTTAAGTATAAGCTCCAATCAGCTCACTTCAATCTTCATGATAATAATATTGATATATTATGCATCAAATACGGGAAACACTTGAAATTCAGTTCAATTGTGAATTGCCGTAGAACTTAACTTGTATCTGTAATTCAAGAAATTATCAGCATAGGTAAAATATACTCGTGTACACATCAATACACAGACACTATGCGTGCAGTGCCACGTACAAATTGGGCGTATTACCTAATAGTAATATTATACATTACATTTAACGGGTGATACTCGTTAAATATCTGTTCCATATAGTCGACGAGTCCAACTCGGCGCGCGTCCTGGTAGGTTGTAAACCTACAAACATTACATGCATCATATACATTAAAACACAGTTGCGCCGCGCATTCATAGATCACAGGCTATCTATACATCACATCTCCGCAAGCAATCCTCGCGCGTGCGCAACTTTTTCGTTGCATGGTAACGGACGGAATGACATCATATTCAGACCCGCCTACTGCTATCTCCAAAATCCACGTTTTTCTGCAAAAACCTCCATTCGTAACCTTTCACTATTGCCTTTTTTCAAAAGGGTGAAAAGGAAAAAATTTGTGTGAAAGGCTCGCGCGGTGAACAGGCGCCGTGCAGCATTTTTAGCGAAAATTGCTACACGTGGTGGAATTATTTTATTCACAATTTTAAACAACTTTTGGTACCAACTTTATCAAATCGGAAAAAATTCTGTGTTAGCGTGTCTCTGTGGTATGGCAACCCTAGTTTAGTATATAGGGAAGGTTGCCGGAGAAATCAAAGTGTATATTATATAGTGGAGGATGTGAGAAAGTGTTATAATCTGAGGGAGATGAGCTGTGTCATGAGGGAACGCTTAAATGTCAGCTGGGCCGGTTGTGAATCGAGCGTCAAAAATTTTGTTTGAGCAGTGAGGGAACCAATTATGTTATTAATAAAGAAAAGCATAATGAATTTCTTAGGTTTAATCCCCATGTTGCCAAGAAACGTTTTATTAACTTATAATCAGGCAGTTTTTTACTGGGTCTTTGAACCTAGAATTTTATTAAAATGTTTAAATTTTGTATAAATATTTAATTTAGTTCTTACCAGGCATTAAAGCTTTAGCATGAGCTTATAGAATATGTCTCTAGGGGAAACCCAGGGATAAGACTGTAGAATAGTCTCTCATCCTCAGTGTGTAGCTTGGAACTGTTCTGCTCACAGTTGTTTCAAATCCTAACATCAAGTTTAAAGTTGTCATATTTGCACCTTTACAGTGTTAATTAATGATGATTAGGATGAGACTTTTACACTAATTTATTTAAACCTCTTTCTAGAATCTTTTATCAGAGATCCCCAGAAACCACAAAATTGTGTTTGCATGATTTCAGGAATCACTTCAGAGCTGCAAGTATCTGTGGAGATAGTTGGGTTTTGTTGCGGAGTTTTGTTGGAGAATTGCTTGTTTCTCTTATATCATCAAGTTTGCTTATTGAAAATATATAAAGATTATTATTAATATTGCTTACTGTAATAAAGTTCACTGAAGCCTAATACATGACCAATGACCATTCAGGTATGAGGTGATATTGTCAAAAGAACACCAGTTACATTGAATCACATCATGCTTCTCCTGTTACTCAGCCTATTTGGACTTTCTCTTCAGTTCAATCTTGACACTCAATCAGTTCAAATATTAACAAGTGACAATGGCATGTTTGGCTACACAGTCGCATTGCACAAAAAAGGTGCAGACGAAAAATTAATATTAGTTGGATCTCCTGATGCGAATACAGGCATACCAGGGGTTGTGGAGGGAGGAGCAGTGTTCAAATGCAATGTTCCACGTCTAGATGAGGTTTCCTCCACACCTGTTGAGTGTGTTGAAACCATTGATGCTTTTAATGATGGTGGTAATGCCTACTATGACGATTTTGGACTAAAAGAGCCAGAGGAAAGTGATATTTATACTATACTTGCTGAGAATAAAAGCCGACAGTTTCTTGGTGTATCAATGGCTGCAACTGATGATTATGTTGCTGTGTGTGGTCATCGATATGAGCACAGATTCTGGCTGAACAGCTACAAAGGGGACCTTCCAAGACAGCTCATTGGTCGCTGTATAGTGGTAAGCTGACACGATTAGTTGTGGACACAACAAGAAAATTGAGAATAATCTTGTGCGAGGGTAGGGACCCAGATGTCGTTTCTAACCCAAATAAACTTTAAGGAGGCTTCTCATCAGTAGCCGCACCTCCTTACTCGGTTTCTGAACTGGAATTCTATGGGCTTCCAGACGGCCAGACCGAGTATTACCATCCCATCCTTCTAGAGTTCATCACAAGTAGCACCCACCTTGAAGATCTTTGACACCCAGACACACCCCATTGGCGAACAAACTTTGGATATAATCTTACATGCTCCCGAAGGAATCCCTGGTTTATGGTCTTTCTCATCGTCACCAGCACTTTCACTAGGTCACCAGCTCTTTCACTGAAGTCATCAGCCCTTTCACTGAAGTCATCAGATGTGACTCTGATCAACGGTATAGTTGTGGACACAACAAGAAAATTGAGAATAATCTTGTGCGAGGGTAGGGACCCAGATGTCGTTTCTAACCCAAATAAACTTTAAGGAGGCTTCTCATCAGTAGCCGCACCTCCTTACTCGGTTTCTGAACTGGAATTCTATGGGCTTCCAGACGGCCAGACCGAGTATTACCATCCCATCCTTCTAGAGTTCATCACAAGTAGCACCCACCTTGAAGATCTTTGACACCCAGACACACCCCATTGGCGAACAAACTTTGGATATAATCTTACATGCTCCCGAAGGAATCCCTGGTTTATGGTCTTTCTCATCGTCACCAGCACTTTCACTAGGTCACCAGCTCTTTCACTGAAGTCATCAGCCCTTTCACTGAAGTCATCAGATGTGACTCTGATCAACGGTATAGTTGTGGACACAACAAGAAAATTGAGAATAGTCTTGTGCGAGGGTAGGGACCCAGATGTCGTTTCTAACCCAAATAAACTTTAAGGAGGCTTCTCATCAGTAGCCGCACCTCCTTACTCGGTTTCTGAACTGGAATTCTATGGGCTTCCAGACGGCCAGACCGAGTATTACCATCCCATCCTTCTAGAGTTCATCACAAGTAGCACCCACCTTGAAGATCTTTGACACCCAGACACACCCCATTGGCGAACAAACTTTGGATATAATCTTACATGCTCCCGAAGGAATCCCTGGTTTATGGTCTTTCTCATCGTCACCAGCACTTTCACTAGGTCACCAGCTCTTTCACTGAAGTCATCAGCCCTTTCACTGAAGTCATCAGATGTGACTCTGATCAACGGTATAGTTGTGGACACAACAAGAAAATTGAGAATAATCTTGTGCGAGGGTAGGGACCCAGATGTCGTTTCTAACCCAAATAAACTTTAAGGAGGCTTCTCATCAGTAGCCGCACCTCCTTACTCGGTTTCTGAACTGGAATTCTATGGGCTTCCAGACGGCCAGACCGAGTATTACCATCCCATCCTTCTAGAGTTCATCACAAGTAGCACCCACCTTGAAGATCTTTGACACCCAGACACACCCCATTGGCGAACAAACTTTGGATATAATCTTACATGCTCCCGAAGGAATCCCTGGTTTATGGTCTTTCTCATCGTCACCAGCACTTTCACTAGGTCACCAGCTCTTTCACTGAAGTCATCAGCCCTTTCACTGAAGTCATCAGATGTGACTCTGATCAACGGTATAGTTGTGGACACAACAAGAAAATTGAGAATAATCTTGTGCGAGGGTAGGGACCCAGATGTCGTTTCTAACCCAAATAAACTTTAAGGAGGCTTCTCATCAGTAGCCGCACCTCCTTACTCGGTTTCTGAACTGGAATTCTATGGGCTTCCAGACGGCCAGACCGAGTATTACCATCCCATCCTTCTAGAGTTCATCACAAGTAGCACCCACCTTGAAGATCTTTGACACCCAGACACACCCCATTGGCGAACAAACTTTGGATATAATCTTACATGCTCCCGAAGGAATCCCTGGTTTATGGTCTTTCTCATCGTCACCAGCACTTTCACTAGGTCACCAGCTCTTTCACTGAAGTCATCAGCCCTTTCACTGAAGTCATCAGATGTGACTCTGATCAACGGTATAGTTGTGGACACAACAAGAAAATTGAGAATAATCTTGTGCGAGGGTAGGGACCCAGATGTCGTTTCTAACCCAAATAAACTTTAAGGAGGCTTCTCATCAGTAGCCGCACCTCCTTACTCGGTTTCTGAACTGGAATTCTATGGGCTTCCAGACGGCCAGACCGAGTATTACCATCCCATCCTTCTAGAGTTCATCACAAGTAGCACCCACCTTGAAGATCTTTGACACCCAGACACACCCCATTGGCGAACAAACTTTGGATATAATCTTACATGCTCCCGAAGGAATCCCTGGTTTATGGTCTTTCTCATCGTCACCAGCACTTTCACTAGGTCACCAGCTCTTTCACTGAAGTCATCAGCCCTTTCACTGAAGTCATCAGATGTGACTCTGATCAACGGTATAGTTGTGGACACAACAAGAAAATTGAGAATAATCTTGTGCGAGGGTAGGGACCCAGATGTCGTTTCTAACCCAAATAAACTTTAAGGAGGCTTCTCATCAGTAGCCGCACCTCCTTACTCGGTTTCTGAACTGGAATTCTATGGGCTTCCAGACGGCCAGACCGAGTATTACCATCCCATCCTTCTAGAGTTCATCACAAGTAGCACCCACCTTGAAGATCTTTGACACCCAGACACACCCCATTGGCGAACAAACTTTGGATATAATCTTACATGCTCCCGAAGGAATCCCTGGTTTATGGTCTTTCTCATCGTCACCAGCAGTTTCACTAGGTCACCAGCTCTTTCACTGAAGTCATCAGCCCTTTCACTGAAGTCATCAGATGTGACTCTGATCAACGGTATAGTTGTGGACACAACAAGAAAATTGAGAATAATCTTGTGCGAGGGTAGGGACCCAGATGTCGTTTCTAACCCAAATAAACTTTAAGGAGGCTTCTCATCAGTAGCCGCACCTCCTTACTCGGTTTCTGAACTGGAATTCTATGGGCTTCCAGACGGCCAGACCGAGTATTACCATCCCATCCTTCTAGAGTTCATCACAAGTAGCACCCACCTTGAAGATCTTTGACACCCAGACACACCCCATTGGCGAACAAACTTTGGATATAATCTTACATGCTCCCGAAGGAATCCCTGGTTTATGGTCTTTCTCATCGTCACCAGCACTTTCACTAGGTCACCAGCTCTTTCACTGAAGTCATCAGCCCTTTCACTGAAGTCATCAAATGTGACTCTGATCAACGGTATAGTTGTGGACACAACAAGAAAATTGAGAATAATCTTGTGCGAGGGTAGGGACCCAGATGTCGTTTCTAACCCAAATAAACTTTAAGGAGGCTTCTCATCAGTAGCCGCACCTCCTTACTCGGTTTCTGAACTGGAATTCTATGGGCTTCCAGACGGCCAGACCGAGTATTACCATCCCATCCTTCTAGAGTTCATCACAAGTAGCACCCACCTTGAAGATCTTTGACACCCAGACACACCCCATTGGCGAACAAACTTTGGATATAATCTTACATGCTCCCGAAGGAATCCCTGGTTTATGGTCTTTCTCATCGTCACCAGCACTTTCACTAGGTCACCAGCTCTTTCACTGAAGTCATCAGCCCTTTCACTGAAGTCATCAGATGTGACTCTGATCAACGGTATAGTTGTGGACACAACAAGAAAATTGAGAATAATCTTGTGCGAGGGTAGGGACCCAGATGTCGTTTCTAACCCAAATAAACTTTAAGGAGGCTTCTCATCAGTAGCCGCACCTCCTTACTCGGTTTCTGAACTGGAATTCTATGGGCTTCCAGACGGCCAGACCGAGTATTACCATCCCATCCTTCTAGAGTTCATCACAAGTAGCACCCACCTTGAAGATCTTTGACACCCAGACACACCCCATTGGCGAACAAACTTTGGATATAATCTTACATGCTCCCGAAGGAATCCCTGGTTTATGGTCTTTCTCATCGTCACCAGCACTTTCACTAGGTCACCAGCTCTTTCACTGAAGTCATCAGCCCTTTCACTGAAGTCATCAGATGTGACTCTGATCAACGGTATAGTTGTGGACACAACAAGAAAATTGAGAATAATCTTGTGCGAGGGTAGGGACCCAGATGTCGTTTCTAACCCAAATAAACTTTAAGGAGGCTTCTCATCAGTAGCCGCACCTCCTTACTCGGTTTCTGAACTGGAATTCTATGGGCTTCCAGACGGCCAGACCGAGTTTTTTTTCAAAAGGGTGAAAAGGAAAAAATTTGTGTGAAAGGCTCGCGCGGTGAACAGGCGCCGTGCAGCATTTTTAGCGAAAATTGCTACACGTGGTGGAATTATTTTATTCACAATTTTAAACAACTTTTGGTACCAACTTTATCAAATCGGAAAAAATTCTGTGTTAGCGTGTCTCTGTGGTATGGCAACCCTAGTTTAGTATATAGGGAAGGTTGCCGGAGAAATCAAAGTGTATATTATATAGTGGAGGATGTGAGAAAGTGTTATAATCTGAGGGAGATGAGCTGTGTCATGAGGGAACGCTTAAATGTCAGCTGGGCCGGTTGTGAATCGAGCGTCAAAAATTTTGTTTGAGCAGTGAGGGAACCAATTATGTTATTAATAAAGAAAAGCATAATGAATTTCTTAGGTTTAATCCCCATGTTGCCAAGAAACGTTTTATTAACTTATAATCAGGCAGTTTTTTACTGGGTCTTTGAACCTAGAATTTTATTAAAATGTTTAAATTTTGTATAAATATTTAATTTAGTTCTTACCAGGCATTAAAGCTTTAGCATGAGCTTATAGAATATGTCTCTAGGGGAAACCCAGGGATAAGACTGTAGAATAGTCTCTCATCCTCAGTGTGTAGCTTGGAACTGTTCTGCTCACAGTTGTTTCAAATCCTAACATCAAGTTTAAAGTTGTCATATTTGCACCTTTACAGTGTTAATTAATGATGATTAGGATGAGACTTTTACACTAATTTATTTAAACCTCTTTCTAGAATCTTTTATCAGAGATCCCCAGAAACCACAAAATTGTGTTTGCATGATTTCAGGAATCACTTCAGAGCTGCAAGTATCTGTGGAGATAGTTGGGTTTTGTTGCGGAGTTTTGTTGGAGAATTGCTTGTTTCTCTTATATCATCAAGTTTGCTTATTGAAAATATATAAAGATTATTATTAATATTGCTTACTGTAATAAAGTTCACTGAAGCCTAATACATGACCAATGACCATTCAGGTATGAGGTGATATTGTCAAAAGAACACCAGTTACATTGAATCACATCATGCTTCTCCTGTTACTCAGCCTATTTGGACTTTCTCTTCAGTTCAATCTTGACACTCAATCAGTTCAAATATTAACAAGTGACAATGGCATGTTTGGCTACACAGTCGCATTGCACAAAAAAGGTGCAGACGAAAAATTAATATTAGTTGGATCTCCTGATGCGAATACAGGCATACCAGGGGTTGTGGAGGGAGGAGCAGTGTTCAAATGCAATGTTCCACGTCTAGATGAGGTTTCCTCCACACCTGTTGAGTGTGTTGAAACCATTGATGCTTTTAATGATGGTGGTAATGCCTACTATGACGATTTTGGACTAAAAGAGCCAGAGGAAAGTGATATTTATACTATACTTGCTGAGAATAAAAGCCGACAGTTTCTTGGTGTATCAATGGCTGCAACTGATGATTATGTTGCTGTGTGTGGTCATCGATATGAGCACAGATTCTGGCTGAACAGCTACAAAGGGGACCTTCCAAGACAGCTCATTGGTCGCTGTATAGTGGTAAGCTGACACGATTAGTTTATTGTATTTGATAATTAAATCTACATGAGTCTGATTTTAGCTAATATTTTTTGTTGTTGATTACTTTTGTATTTTACTAATCAAGAAATGAGAGTGAACTTCCTTATCTTGCGAACCCTACGTTTGGAATCTTACCTACTTTGTTACAGCTTCCTTATAAATTGAGAACATTGACTGATATTGTCTTGTTTAATAAGAGACTTAAAAGACTCATATTTTTGAAAGAGTATTCATATAAGTTTCATAAAATAACTTCCTCATAAAAACCCATATCTGATAAAATGCTAAGTTCTTATGTACAATATAATGTTCATGATTCGCTTTAGATGGCTTGAACTGAATCTTTGGATTTTGAGTTCTTTTTTACTATAAATCAATGTATAAATTTCTAGTTATTATCATTATTGTTATAATAAATTGTATTTCAGACTAATGGTGATCTTGATACCTGGGACCTACGAAACTTTAAACCCTGTGATAACAACCAAGATGCGGGTTACATGACTTACGGTTATTGTCAAGCTGGTATGTCTGTTGCCCTACGCGATGATACCATCGTACTAGGTAAGTTATACAGGTCTTATATATCAACTTTTATTGAACTCAATTAAATAACTTAGCTCATAGTACTTTTCTTTTTAATCAGTATTTTAAGCAATTTCTCTTAATATAAGGAATTAAACACTATCCGTTTAAACACTATGTGATTGGTTTCAGGGGCTCCCGGAACTGATCAAGCACTTGGTCGAGCCTTCATGTACGATCTTCTAAATCCCGTGGATGAATCTATCGACATTGTAAAGATTGCCACCCCTCAAAATGTACCAACCACTGACAAATACATGGGCTACAGTTCTGTTATTTGTAATATGGATGGAGATCAAGATTGGAATGGTTACGAAATGGTATTTGGCGGGCCGAGAGGTGAAATGTATTCAGGAGAGGTAAATTATAAAATTTCTATCGATCACTTTTGCCGTACAAATCAAAATAATCCATAAATTTAAATAACAAACTATTTTAACCATGAAAAGTCTGTATCTAGATAAGTATAATATGAAGAAACGGAGCTAATGTTTTCAATTTAAAATTTAAATCATCATAATTGTTCAGGTCAGAATTTATTCATCGATGATGGAGGGTATGCCAGCACAGGCTATGGAACAATTTATTAATGACGAAGAGCCTGGTTGGATATACAACTTCGCTGGAGAACAAATGGGCAGCTATTTTGGACACAGTTTAGCTTGTGCAGATGTCAATGGTGATGGATTCGAGGATGTAATAGTCGGAGCTCCTTGGTTTACTGATTATACCGCCCATGACATTTTCGCTGATACAGGTATCACAGAATTTTCTTTATGTAATTGAAAAGTGAAATATAGCCCTTACATACATTTTTGTATTACAATCTTTAACATCGTCCTTAATACATTAATTAAGTATATGCAAATTAAAATGCAATCGATTTTCATGTAGATATATTGCTTTTAAAGAGACCATCAATCACGTGGCATTCGCATGACTACGGCACGCACAATTTATTCTGATCCTTTCCAGGAAAAATCTACATCTTGTATGGATCTGACTATTTGGACGACTTTGACGCACTAGAAAACCCAACGTCTATAATGGGGGACCAGGCCAACGCAGCATTTGGTTACTCCCTATCTAACGGTGGAGATATGAACGATGACACTTACGCAGACATTTTCGTTGGAGCTCCTTATTATGATGACGGTGAAGGAGCTGTATTCCTCTACCTAGGTGGGCCGGCTGGTCTCCAATCCAAATACTCCCAACTCATCAAACCTTCCACTCTCAACGTTTTGGATAATATCAGGACGTTTGGTTGGAGTCTCTCACCTGGAAAAGATATGGATGGAAATGGATATCCGGATATAGCTATTGGAGCTTATGAATCTGGGCACGTGGCGTTCATTAGGAGCAAAAGTATCATTGATGTTGTTCCTGATCTGACATTCAAGTTGACTACTTTTAATGACACACACAAAGTCACCTCTTTACAGGTCAGTCACCCTCAGTCACCCTCAGTCAACTGGTCGACCTTTACTAAAACAGCTTATTATAGATTCAATTCACGTTAGGAATTATCTATTGCTATTTTATGTTATAATTGACTCTATTTTCTGGCCCAATGATGTAAAATTAACCGCTCAGATTTTCAATTCAACGCATCAAATTGAAAATAGCCATTTATTAGTAGACTGTATGTTATTAATTTGTTGATTTAACACAGGTGTGTTTGCACTACGAAGAGCGACTTGATCGTGATCCTATTGCTATTGACGAAGTTCCCATCAAGTTTAGCATCACTGTCGACCCTGAATACTTCCGCCTGTCATTCTCGGAAAGCGAACGAGTTCGAACCTGGGTACCTCTGACAATGAACGTATCTACTCAGACTGGCTCACCATTCTGTACCAACAACCAGAAGATATACTATGACAACAGCACTGGACATGTCAACCCCATGCCCGTTATCATGACCGCCGAGATTGACGATCCAACCCTAACGTCATTGGTTTTGAACCAGGAGATTATCAAGGGCCAGAGAAAGGAGCTGTCTATTCAGTCGGAGTGCCACCCTGATACTGGTATCTGTACAGCTGATCTCTCCGTGGAGCTTGATCCTGTGGTGACTTTCTCTCAGAGTAATCTCTACCCCTCAGTTGTTTTTGGATACGTACCATCCTTTACTCAGATGATAACTGTTTCCAACATTGGACTTGACGAATACAACTATGTTTACAACGCTGCTGTTAACATATCATTCCCCGCTGAAATGATCTTTTCTACCGTTTCAATAGATGCTGCTAATGTGAACTGTCAAATGATGGAATCCTATCTTCTCTGCAAAATCTCGGATGATGGACCGATCAACAAGGACGAAAAAGTTCACACTTTTGGAATAGAGTTCGATATCCCCGATATCACACAGCCAACTTATCTAGATATAAGTGTAGAGGTGGTCGTAGATGATCCTACTATTGATGAAGATTTTAGCAACAATGTAGCTGGGAGAGTGATTGAGGTGAAAGAGTTGGCTGATTTGATGATAAATGGCGGAGCTAGTCGATCTAAGGTTGCATTTAACAACCAATATACTGTCGTGAACAAGGCTATTGGTAGTCCCGGCATCGAAATCAAGTTAGTCAAACAATTTACTTTATTTAAAAAAAACTGTATCTAAAGATCTAATCTGATATTATTCGAGAAAATTCTAGTTATCTCACTGTATACTGATAATATATTTTGTCTAGGCACGAGTACTCGATAGAACTGAGCGAAGACGCCCAGCAACCTTCTGTGGAGGGTGTGGCAGTGAGCATTTACTGGCCCCAGAAAGTTCCAGTAAAAGATATCCACATTGTGCCTCTCTACAACATAAGTATGAGGACCCCAGATGATATGGAAGTGTACTGTACTCCCTCTCTTGCAGAACTGTACCCTGCACCAGTACGTTCAGATTGAATTTGTTTTCTGTTGATTCTAGCTGTGGGTGAAATAGCTGCGATTGGAAACTTAAGTGTTTCCTTATAAAATTCCCGATTTCCCAATTTATTTGATGAAATAAAGCCATTAATATTATTCGTTGAAATGTAACGCAAGTTTCATGTCTCAATCATAGTTCCCTTCCAGGTTGGCGACAAAAAATCGCTACAGATAACAGATGACCTAGTACTACCAATCACTGATAGAGACGACGACTTTTCAATTCCTGAGAGTATGAACTGCGTTGCTAACCCAGAAGCTTGTCTCCAACTTAATTGCAGCATCAACAACATAAATAGAGGTTCCGGATTTAACCACGGCTTCAAAATCTCTCTATTCGGCAAGGTTTGTGGTCGTAAAGTCGATTATAAACAGATTATAAACAGATTATAAACAATGGAAATACGAACCAAAATATTACTGTCAGCTATAATCGTGTGATTATATCTTTACCCACTGTACGTTAGACTTGTTCCTTAACTTCATAATTTATTTCAGGTTCACGAGGCCAATTTGTATAACAGCCCGGGAGTTAACATAACTTCGTTTGCTAGGATATCTGGTGTCGCACATGACTTGGTACTGCCCATTAAACGATCCGCTAATGCTAGAAGTGAACTCTATCCCTCAGTGGTAATTGATTTAAATTAATTTTGTTAATTTTTTATAAGAATTTTGGCCCTCCTGAAGGTTTTTATTAGAGGCGAGTTGAAAAGTTTACCGATATTTAAAATATTGCATCCTATTTGTAAGGTCGGTTTACCCGATTGCCGCTAAATAATCGGGATGATCACTAAATAATTGTGCTACCATGCGTGCCGTTCTGAAATTAATTATAATTCACTAATTATAATTAATTAATTATAATTAACTAATTATAACACCTCTCCTTCTTTTCAGAGAAAGAGCACAAACATGTTATGGGTTATAATCGGAGCAATTATAGGTGGTATTCTCATCCTCTGCCTCTTCGTGCTGTGTCTCTGGAAGTGTGGCTTCTTCAAACGGAAACAACCTCCAACTATCAAGGCTGACAAGGTTGACGAGCAGATTGATATGACCGTTTACGGTCAGTAGGTTAGGAGGCTGAGTGTAGCAGAGTACTAGTACCCTTATATGGGCATCACGTGTAGTTCTGTTGAACTGAACTGTTTAACCAATATGTTATCGTGGGGATAGGACTGTAATTTGCGCCAGCTAAATTCAGTGAAATGGAAAAATTGGGTAAGCCACCGAAGCTATGATCAAAGGCTATGAAGAAAATTGAGTTTGTGCTGGTCGATCCCCAGGGTCAGTTAGATATTAAAATCGTTTTTAGGATAAGATTCTTTTTTGGTAATTAATGGAGCTGTATTAATTTCTAATTCAAAGAAAAATTAATCAGCAATAATTAATTAATCAGTTTTAACTTTTCTACTTCATATATATAAATTGTAATCACGAATCACAAGATTAGATATATTTGTTATTTTCACTATTTATTACCCTTCGCATTCACCACGAGCACCCAGTATATGTTCAATATAATATAATTGAATGTGAGTAGAACATAGGAAAAAATTCATTAGTTCATAACCATGGTAGGTGGAGAATTTCTTGCTTTTATTTTGTAATTTATACCCGTTCATAGTCACGACCACGTTTATTTGTATTTATTGATTAGTAAATTAATAATTTGTGCCGAAAATCTTATGTTTATACTGATTTTGTAATGAAAGATTTAATATTAATAACTATTAAGTTCGTTTGATTTAAGTATTAAGTATTATTATATATCAGTGAAGTAGTTAAGTAGTTATTATCAAGGTTAGATATCTGATTATTTTCTAAGTCGACTGTTTGTACGCTTTGTTTTGAGATGTAAATAATTTTGAAGATTTAACACATGTTACCTGTTAATAATGCATATCTTTTACAGTAATATATCTGCTACTGAATTCTGAAAGCTTAATCCAAGCTACATCATTATTGTAAAGGAATGATTCTTCTAAATATGACGATTTGTAGATTGTTCGAGGGACCCTGACAGTTAATTATCATTTTCTTTCACTTTCTAACGTTTGTAAATCACTTTCTTATATACATACTGAAGATACTAAACGGAATAGATTTCCTTATATCGGTTCATGATATTGGTATTATTAGGTCTAATTAGGTATGATTACATAATGGCGTCAGTTCAAGAACTAACAATTAAATAATTATCCCGGAAACGCATTATCCGACCACTTGAAATGGATTTGTCCTGCTGCTTGTCCTGATTTGAAATGAAGAGATGATGACATTTGTCTCGCTGCTGCCACGGTTTCGTTTGTATTTTGAATTTCAAAGATTGTGCTACCAAAAATCCAAAAGGCAGAGTTCTAAAACCGAAATGTTTTATCTTGAAGTGCTATTTTTAGACTGGGATGAATTTTAATGGTATGGGTTTCCTAAAAGTTTGTACCGTTCAACATTTCGGGATGTCAACTGTTACGGTTTAATCTATATTTGAGTATTATGGGCTGATGTTTTTATTTGTTTTATACAATTTTTTATGCTCACAAAACGAGATATATAATTATACAGTTTCTTTTTATTATTCTTTATATTTTAGTTTTACCTTTGTTAAATTCTTAAATTCACATCACCCGTCCAACATTGTTAAGAACAATACATTGATTCACTAAAAATTGAAAATTATATTATATCTACCTTAATATTTGATTGATACTTCGAAATCTCCGTGCTTAAATGATTAAAATTAACAACGATGTTCTGCATGAGACTTAATCAGTATTTGCTTATTTATGTCTATTAATAAAAGAAGATATTTGGACATGATATTTGTTAAAATGATAAAAGAATGTTATGAAACATATCCGGGAGCGTTATTTGCAACTTATTATTTGTAAGATATATTGTTTTTATCCATAACAGTGTTGTGTTGGATCTACTCGACTCTTATTACACCATTTTACGAAATTGTGTTGTTTTTTTTGTGACTTTTAAACTATAATGATGATCCTAAAAAGCTGATAACTTATCTTCTGATTTGTTGCTGAAGATTAACGAATTAGTTTGAATTCTTAAATATATATAAGATGAATTGTGATCATTTCAAATTTGTTAAAACAAAAATACACCAATATTTATGATAATTTTGGTCTCCCAATTATGCCCGTCTCTAATTATGAAAACTCTAGCTATGACGCAACAGTGAAACAAGCTCGGACGGAAAAAGGATTAATTCCAACAATTCCTGACGATAATTGAGATCGATTAACACCAGAGATCCGGATCAGATCAACAGATGTATTATCAAAACTATTTACTGCTAATTTCCTTGCTATTTAACGCTATCTTCTCTTATAATATTGATGTTCAATCCCCCTATGTGGTAAAGGTGAGTTGAAATTGTATTATTTTAATGGTCTAGCAAGTCGTGATATCATGTCCCGTCATTACAGTAGAATATGATTTAATAGTAGCTCTGTGAAGGCTTCAAATTGTTAGCTCCGAACCAACCGTCCTATAAATTTGGCTATTTTAAATCACTTTGACAAGTTCTATGAATTATTTAGATTTATATTTTAATCTTCATGATAATATTATGAATTGAATATAAGAGCTGGATAATATATGTTCACGGTGATACTATTTTAGGTCCAGGCCAACCAGGAGGGGTCATTGTTTGGATTCTCTACAGCTCTTCACATATACAACGGCGAAAAGTTCATTTTAGTCGGTGAGTTAACCATATTGCAGCGTGATCTATACTTAATGTTAGATTCTGTGGGAGGCAGGCACGAGTTTGATTTTCACGAACGTAACAACTAACAACTAAGTAAACTCTAGTTTAGGAATCTATTTTGTCAGCTTCACTATTTTATCTTGTTAAGGTGCTCCACGAGCAAACTGGACGTCGGGTACTGGAGTAGGGCTTGACAGTCCAGGAGCTGTTTACAAATGTCCCCTGGATGACTCCATTGCTAACCCTGATTCTGAAGCTACGTGTACAGAACAGGTTAGAAAAGCCTGCCCGTATAAACATCTAGTTTTCTGACCTGAACATTTATAGTAGATCATGATATTTTAAAAGCAACTTTAAAACCCTCATTATTTTGTTTTAGATAACGCATTTCACCAACGACAACGAGCGAAACGAAGCAAAAGAAGATAAGGCAAATCAATGGCTGGGTGTAAACATTCAGTCGACTGATAACCACGTGACAGCATGCGCGCACAGGTACATTTCTTTATTTTTATTGAATTTAGCTGAACAGGGTCATCATTATTCTCCTTCTAAATTTGGAACCTATTACTTTTGAATTCTTTAAAAAATTACCATCCGAATGACTCAGTTTACCATGTAAAGTATTAAAAATAGTAAAACTGCAAGGTTTGAAATTGACTGTATCTCAGATACGTGTCTCTGGAGGGAGGAGATAATAAAAGGATGCCGATAGGTAAGTGCACTGTGATCGGACCCTCTCTTGAAGGAAATGATGGTGTTGAAAAGAAGACATTGTTTCCTTGCAGAGATAGCGCAGGCCTCAACCTCGACAGTGGCTCTTGCCAGGTATGTGATGACATTATTGTGAGGAAACGACCGGCTTAAATTCATTTGTTTTTCTCAAACAACTGTTACTTACTCAAATGTAATCGCTCAAATTGCACAACCCACTAGAATCTAACCCCCGCCCCCCCCCCCCCCCTCTAGAATCTAACCCCCCTCCCCCTCTAGAATCTAACCCCCCCTCCGTCAGGTTGGTTCAAGTCAAGTTCAGTACAAAGACGGTAGTAAGTCCTACCTGCTGTACGGAGCACCCGGTGTAGATATCTGGGAGGGAAGTGCTTATCTAGCTGAGAGTCTGGACGATGTTAAGTCATCTAAAAAGATTGACAAGATGGATCCAGGTCCGAGGGACTTTAATCAATATAACGGATACGCAGTAGCTATTTGCAGGATGAGTGGTGCTGACCAACCCCTCGACTTAATTACCGGTATGTTTATCTTATATTTGATCTCATTATCTCTAATTTCTATATTTGAATAATTAGCCGGATAAGCAAGTTAGCAGCTGTTATCATCTCAGTTCAGGGATCTTACAATGAACCATAAGTTAGGAAAGTTGGCACTTGACATACATTTGATATACACTTGACATACACTTGACATACATTTGACATACATTTGACATACATTTGACATACATTTACAGTTGACTTGTATTTTCAGCGGCTCCTCGTGCTAACAACTACCTTGGCATACTGTACTTCTTCGTCAGTGACAACACCAACACAAACGAGAAGACTCTACTCAGGAACAGCAGATTCAACGAACAACTCACAGGTTTGTGGATACAAGGATACAAGTATACAAAAGTGATAATTATTTTATTGAGTACACAATAGTTGTAATTCTGAAATAATTTAAGTTACACAATACTAATTATTTACAAATGTGTAGGTTTGTGTGTTCTGTCAAACTTTAGAGCAGCCTGCCCTGTCTCAATATACTGATTTAATGAACTCTAGTTTGTCTTACAGTGAACCTGATGATTTAAATGCAGCAGAAAATAGCCCTGCTTGTTAAATTAATTCATTTCAATTCTAATAATTCACGAATTTAATCCCCGACCTTCTTAACAGGTGACCAGATGGGGGCTTATTATGGCTACTCAATGGCGTGTGGTGATCTGGATGGTGATGGTAACGACGACCTGGTTGTCTCCGCACCTTGGTACTCAATGGTAACCAACTCCAAGTCTTCCATTGTCAGTGTGGGACGGGTTTACGTGTACTACGGGGATCCCAACAAGGTTGTGGCTAATGCCAACAAACCCACTATTATTGGTACGTTTACAAGGTTGTGGCTAATGCCAATAAACCCACTATTATTGGTACGTTTAAATTTGGAGTTCTTATATATCATTATATCTTGTGATCTTATACAGGATTATATTGTGATATTAACAGATTTTGTGGTGTCTAGTGAGCTAGTGATCTCATTCCGTCGCGCTCTAGTGATTGGATTGTATTAAATTGCACAGATTTGATATATTTTACAAGTCAAATTGTTTAATATTCGTTTTAAAATTTATGTATTTAAAGTCTAACTTGTATGTTCTCATTTTACAAGTGCATCTTATGGAGTTTTTTGTCCGTTATTGCTGAAGGAGTGTCCATAATATTAACCATATTCGTACGTAAATCGATTAAGTTAATTGGAAAATAAGGCGATATTACAAACTATGTAACATTATGACATGGACACATTATACAATTTACATCTAATGTGCAAAATGAAATATGTATGTACTTATTTTAAGTAATTAATGTTAACAAATATTACAGAGGCGCCCCACACCACCACTTCTGCGTTTGGACTGGGTTTAGCCCACATTGGTGACATCAACAAGGATGGTTACCAGGACTTTGCTATCGGAGCACCGTATGAGAACGACTATAAAGGTAAAGCTCATGTCCATATAAGGAATAATTGACTATACGTCTAACAAGATAACTGATAAGGATACATGACTGTACATGTACACTGTACATTACTGAACATTACTGTGCATTACTGTACATTACTGTACATTACTGTACATTACTGTACATTACAGTTGTACAATCAGTTGTCATGTGACAGTTACCGGTGTCGTGTCTGCTACACTGATAGTGTGGTTTTAAAAAGCTCTGGTGGATACTGTAGTGATGACGAAATGACGATCATATTATTTTATTTGTCGATCCAAGCGGAGAGTATTTTGTCCCTCAAACTTAAAAAGTACTTTCAAACCGACTATGATATGTTTTTATCATGGTCTCATGGTCTGCGTCTCAGCCTGATCACGATTTTTAAATGATTAATAAATTATGACACAAACTATTGTTCAGGTGCTGTTTACATATACCACGGCTCAAGAAACGGCATCAAGAAAACTCCTGTCCAGGCCATCTACCCAACTGAGCTAGGAAATGGATTAGGAGGTTAGTTTAGGATTTCATTTAGCGAGTTCAGAATTAATACCTCTCGTATCCGTTCTCCTGTCTACCTATTAGTTAATAGATACTCTAATTTCTTCAACCTAATCAGAATATAACAATGACACAATTAACAATATAGCGTCAGTTCTAAAGCGCTGTTAAGATACATACTTGAGCTATGTGTATAATACGTGTAGTGTGTGACTAACGTGTTATGTGTGACTAACGTGTTATGTGTGACTAACGTGTAGTGTGTGACTAACGTGTAGTGTGTGACTAACGTGTTGTGTGTATAATACGTGTAGTGTGTGACTAACGTGTAGTGTGTGACTAACGTGTTATGTGTATAATAAGTGTCGTGTGTGACTAACGTGTAGTGTGTGACTAACGTGTTGTGTGTGACTAACGTGTTGTGTGTATAATACGTGTAGTGTGTGACTAACGTGTAGTGTGTGACTAACGTGTTGTGTGTATAATACGTGTAGTGTGTGACTAACGTGTAGTGTGTGACTAACGTGTTATGTGTATAATACGTGTAGTGTGTGACTAACGTGTAGTGTGTGACTAACGTGTTGTGTGTGACTAACGTGTTGTGTGTGACTAACGTGTAGTGTGTGACCAACGTGTAGTGTGTGACTAACGTGTTATGTGTATAATACGTGTTATGTGTATAATACGTGTAGTGTGTGACTAACGTGTAGTGTGTGACTAACGTGTTTTGTGTGACTAACGTGTTTTGTGTATAATACGTGTTATGTGTGACTAACGTGTAGTGTGTGACTAACGAGCTATGTGTGACTAACGTGTTTTGTGTATAATACGTGTTGTGTGTGACTAACGTGTATAATTTCAGACAATCTGCTGTCCTTTGGTTGGTCCATATCGGCTAACAAGGACATGGACAGTAACGACTACCCTGATATGGCTATTGGAAGCTACATGTCTGAAAGAGTGGTAATTATGATAATATTACATTAATTAATTGTTTAATTGACGTGTATGAAATGTTCATAAAATAGAGATAACCTCTATTGGTTACGACATCTTTCCCAAACTGTTCTGTCGTTTTTATCTGTTCTACTATATTTAAACAGTTTTCAAACCCCGCCATTGCAACCACAACCTCTCAGGTGTATCTCCGATCTCTTCCAATTGTTGATCTAAATATCGAGATAGTGATCCCTTCGGACCCGGTGGATCTAGAAGATGAGACCAAGAACATTCCTGGCTCTGCCCCAGTCCAGTCTTACCCTGGCACTACTCTCAAGATCTGCTTCAGAACTTACAGTCAGTTCATATTTACATTTCTTTTAAACTGATATTTACTGTTCTGATAGTCAGTTGAGGATAACGGGCGTATTTCTTAATTGTAAACCTTTGTAAAATAAGGATGTGCAGTAATGTGATGAATACCTAAAATACAAAATTCCCCTTTTTGTTTTCTTACATTTCATCTTTCAAAGGACAAAGTGTTGGTAAATACGAGATAAACTACGAAGTAGAGCTCGACTACAAGCAAAGCTATGCTCCACGTGCTTTCTTCCAGGAGAATGCAGCCAGCAAAATTGAGGTTCCCTTGAAATGAGTTGTTTAGTTTTTTTTGTCGCATTGAAGTTTTTTGACATTTTTTGTTTCTGTCTCTTTTTCTGATTCTGACCGATATTTCTACCACAGTTCAAGAAGAGTGACACAAAGTTGATAGACATCAACTCACCTGAGATACAGTGTACACCCGAATGGACAGTGTTCCTTAAGAAGAAAGATCAGATGTTCGACGCGCAGACTTACATTGAGGTCAACATGACAGCTAATATCAAGGTAACTATCTTCAACTTTATAATGATAATATTATCTGCTCTTATCTAGTAGTAACTAGTAACTGATCACTTAATTCTCGGTCAGGACAAAGAGTGGTCTGAAAATAAATGGCACTGCACAGTGCTCCTTCAATTGTTACGTATATTAGCCAAAAGTTTTTGTGTACCGGAATGCATAGCAAATACCCCGTAACTCAACATTCACCATATTATCCAATATCTATAATGAGTAGTAAACATTCCCACCCTAGGAATCAGACGATATCGCGGACAGAGCAGTGCTGAAGCAGGAGCAGGTGACAGCAGCCAAGGGACGGATTGTTATCAAGTCTATCTGCACCTCCGACACAGGAATATGTCAGTGTGATGTTAGTCTGAAGGAGCCCAGTGTTACTTATCTACCCGCTGGTTACGATAGTATAGTGCTGGATAACGTTAACCAGGTAATAATGTATAATGTATAATGTACACTTTATAATAATGTATAATGTATAATGTACACTTTATTAGTTTGACAACTTTGTTCAATGTAGCAATTTGATGTCCATGATGATTGGTTTGTAACTTAGGTTTATCAAGCCTACAGGACTAACATTTGAATTTTTGAATCTATGCTTAAAGAATTATTTTAACAAAGCAGATAGTATCAATTAATATATTGTGTAGATGCCCGATACCTTATCAGTTGATAACCATACTGATTACAGGTGATAGTGAAGTATGAAGTAGAGAACCTGGGACCAGATAACGCTCATGTTCCTACCCTGATATTAGAACTCCCACCGAAAGTTACCTTCATCAGAAGGGTAGGTTCAAGCACTGATAATAATTGTGGTATTCAAGTTGGGGCTTTCTTTAAACTTAAATCTTAAAACGTCAATAAGGGTTGTCTTGAATTATCCATTGCTATTTGCCTGCGAGGATAAGTTTCAATAGTTGGAGTATCTTTTTTGTGTTTTGTTTCCCACACGTGTCACGTATCGCTTTTTCAAGTTTAAAAAAGTAGCAATTAGCACATAACTTCTTTACTTTACTTAATATCTCAAACTAAGTTAACATATCAACTTCTTTTGTTAAGTAATGAAAGGTGGGTTAGAACTGACATCTGATATATAATACGGCTAGTCCTGATAACACATATCACTGTGATGACAGTACTATACTAATATGTGAACTATCAGAACTGTTAATTTTAGCTCACCTTGCATTACCTACACAGGGCTACTACATTTTCCTAGATATAATATTCCAAATTACGTGTGTAAAATAACAGTCTGTGTGTAAAAGTCGGACGTGTGACCCTTATATCCCACCCTTAGACCACCCATGGAGCAGTTAAGTAGTTTACAGTCTTTCTCGTCAGGCAAAGTTCCCCTTTGCACGACAGCACTGTACAGCCGACTAATTAATTAACAAATTAATTACCAGCAGAGTATTTAGTGTTTTCTATTTCACATTTCACGTCCGCCTCCTCACTTATGTACACGAGTACATTCCATGCATTATGTACAACTTATGCTATGCATAGTATACCCTGTATACAGTATACATTTAAACCTTTGGCTTATTATAAGGAATCTGGAGATCTTAGTAGAATCCAAGAAGCCTGCCACAGCTGCACTAGGCGGAATTCCACCATGGATTTTCACCGCGCTGTGTTTGGCTTCTTAGATTCTGCCGAAACCTAGTCAAGTTAATAATCAAAAACCCGAGATGAGATTATCTTTTCCCACAATGATTATCCTTTACAAGGTTAACTTTGACTAGATTCCAACCAGATTGTTTCTTAAGAATTTGTCACTTTTTCCTCGCACGTCCCAGGATCTAATTCGTTCCGAAATAGCCTCTTTTAAATTTTAAAATATTTTTGTTTTCGATTTAAGCGGGTTCGATAACATATTAATAATATTCGCCGAATTTTCTCGGATATTCACTAATAATGCACTGAGTATCATCTAATCAACTTTGACGCAGGAATGAGTGAGATTACTTGAATGTAAATAACACTGCAATCTGAATGTGATATGTGCTTTGTATTGGGTTGTTCAAATTTTAAATGAAACAAGAAAATTAAATTCATGCAAAATTAAAGCTTTTACTTTTACTCAGATCAATCACTAAGATTAAAACATCTACTTATCCTTTCTGAACTTTATCTCCCATATTTAGACGCCAGTAGATGATCAGACAGAGGCTGACGTTTCTCAGATAGCCTGCTCAGAAATAGAAGCTAATGATAAGAATTACGTAATGTGTTTCCTTCAAGATCCCCTTAGGGTGGGCGAACCCTCAAAGTTCGGGATCAAGCTCGATACAATGAGCTTAACTGATGTTGAGGCTATTAAGTTGACTGCCAAGGTAAGTTTTGTTTTTAGAATAAGAAATCCAAACATTTAGACGATTGAACCCAAGGAGCTGGTTTTTGTAAGATCTAATTAAAATCGTAACATTCTTCAGGTGAACATTGGCTCTCCTAGCGAGGAGAAAGAAGGTAAAAAAGGAAATAACGAGCAAACAATAACACTTGATGTTGGAGAACAGGCTAATCTGGAAATCCGGGGCACCTCAGCAACTGACCAGAATGCTATCAGGCCAGACCTGGCTCTACTTGAAGACAATGCCTTCCTCAGAAGCATCAAACTCGAGGTTTGCGGTCGAACCATCAGGAATTATTGTGCGAGAATTCCTGCTGTTATAATTCAATGAGACCCCGTACATTTTGTGGTACAGGACAACCGACCGAGTTATTTTAACTGTTAAAAGTTTATACACAACATGTTACTGAAATGTTTGTAGGTTCGACATACAGTGTCAGTACTGATAAAGGAGAGCGATAAGAAAGACGGGGATGAAGATGGAATTACAAACATTGTTGTCGAGGTCAGCTGGCCAATGCGGGACCATGATGGCAATTATTTGCTTTATCTTAGTGAGGTAATTATGAAATTAAGATAATTCATGAAATGAAATCGTTATAACAATCCCTTTTGTAAACGTTCTGGTGAAGTTCGTGTATTAGTTTTGATCGGAACGTCTAAAGAACTTGTAGTCCAGCCAAACATTGACTTTCTTAAATTTATGAAAAAGGATCATAATAGCTTAACAACAACCATCTTCAGGTGTATGTGAAAGATAACCAGATCAAGGATAACTTCATAGTCGACTCCAACGTTATAGACCCTAAATGTTTCTTCGACTACAACGAGGACTGTAAGAAGGCTCCAGAATTCTCTGCTGTGTCGGAAGGGGAGAAAACAGAAGAGGAGATGGAGCGAGCAGCAAATGCAGCTGTTCTTAACACCAACTGTAGCATTCCCGATCCAGGGTGTGAGAAATTCAACGTCACTATCAACCTGCTCAAGGCAGGCAGTATCAACATGAAGGACCTTGAGTTTGAGATGCGGTCCATTATTTGGCTCCCTAACGTTATTAACCGCGGAGATTTCAACGCGACGTCAACCGCACGAATTGTCTCAGTCGGACAAAACCTCGTTATTCCTCCTGGATCATCAGTTGAGATGAGGACGAGGGTCTTTGAAGAAACTGAAGAGAAAAGAGACGTGTTATGGATCATTATTGGGTCCGTTATCGGGGGAGTAGCAATTCTCGCCATTCTTATTGTAGTTCTTTGGAAGGTCGGTTTCTTCAAGAGGAAGATGCCACCCCGGGATGGTAATGGTGGAATGTGAAACTGAGACTTAGTTAATTTGATATTTTGTGATACGAGTGTTTACTTTTATTCATTTGCAGTCATTTCAAGCAGCAGTCTGTGAAAATTGGTTACAAATTTGGGAATATTAAGTTGCACATTGTTTAAATATCGTTTAAAGTTTTGTCATTCTTAATAACTATTGGAAGTAAGTGCCGTTGTGTTTAGGTGTAAAGTGTGGACACTTATCTAAATTTCATAGTATCATTCCTTGTGATGTCAATAATAGTCTAGATTGTTCTATCATATCTGGAGGTTGGGTGGCCCCTAAGTGCTGGCACTTTAATTTTGAGGTTTCATTTTTGGGATGCAATACAATACATACTTAACACGGTGCATTGAATTCTCAACAAAAATATCATCGTAATTTTGAAATATGAGTTACAGTGGGAATCCTAGGGGTATGGTGTTGGTATCTCTGATTTTAAATTTTAAATTTTATGAGAAAAAGTGTGATGATGATTCGTTAAAATAACTTAGTATAATCGTTTTAGTGCCATTTAATTTAGGTTTAAACGGGTTAGGACAAATTTGTAGTTAATAAACCAAATGTTTTAAAATACGTCGAGTTGTCGAATGTAGTTGATTTGATATTTGCATTCAGGCTTCACAGACCATATTTCATCTTTGCAGCTTTTTCATTACTTTCTACCTTTTCGATACTAGAATTTTAAGAAATTATAAAGAAACTAAGGAACTTGAATGCTGAAACGGAATGATTCATTTTTTCGTATTTTTGAATCTTCAGAAGAGCCTTAATGATAACTAGAAATTTATATTATATTGATGAAGAATAATATGTTCTTTTTAGACTTATTTAAATGTTTTTATCAGAAATTTATTTTTATCGATAACTTATTTTCCAAAATTCGTTTTTATAAGCGGATTTTGGGAATTTAGATCCAGAAATTTGAATTTCAGTTTTGGGTGAAAAACGTTCGGCTCCCACTCAATCGGGAAGTTCAAAAATCCACTTAAGTTTAATTAATTATTTCCTGCTTCTAATGATTACGTTAATTCATTTCAACGAGTCTATAATGATGTAGATAATATTTTTATTTCATTTATTCGTTGTTACGCTGAATTTTTACAGATTTTGATACCAAGTCATATCTTTGATACTGAGTATTGACTGTTTCAAAATATTATGCGTTTCATATAATATATCAAGTCTCCACATCAGTTATTGAGCACAAACTCTTATTGCTAATAGAGAATATAAGATTTAGTTTTTTTGACATAGTTAACACAGTTTACCATTTGTTCGTGCGGTCTAGTATGTACTTTGTGTTAAGTAGTATTATATATATTTTGTAAATATTAACATTATAATATTACTTATTTCAACCATGTTCAACCAACAATAAAATCTCATCATTAGTGTTTGTAATTACGGTGTTCAATTCATTAATTACCAAACTAAATCTGCTACAAAATATGGTCTGCATAATTGCATGCAGTAATTTCCTTATAAATCTTACAACCAGCATTTACAGCCTAGATACAATTCCATTCCGTTAATCCGAGAGGTAAATCTCTTGAATCAAACCTTGAAATTTCAACAGTAGACCTCCAAACAAACTTTACTTTAGTAAGTACCCTAAGTAACACTTGTTTACGCAGTAGGCAAGTAAGAAGTCAACATGACGATTGATCAACAATGGGGAGACATGATGGACGAAACCGAGTTTGGTAGGTTACATTCCTGGTTACATTCCTGTGGGATTCTTTCTTTATCTAGGCCCACTATTTTTGTCTGTCTGTATGTAAAGGAGGGATTCGCGAACCCTGGCCCTGGTGCGGCAAGTAGCCCCAATTCAGTTCCTTTAACATTGTTTGTCTAGTTCTGTTGAATACGACAATCAGTACAGTACCCTGTACCATACAATATAGTACCCTCAATATTGTACCCCTAGCAGCAACAACAATCACCTGTTGAATTGTAGATTAAACCTCCACTTGAGTAGATGAGCTGAGCACCGCGTATTGTTCAACATATTGGATATTATTTATAGCCCCTAAGTTGTAATTGTGATTGCAATAATCCCCAATGATCTCGCCCATTATCAAATATTAGCACCATGTAAACTAGGAACTCTCCCAAAGACAAAAACATAATTTATACAACTTGTAATTATCTGATGCAGATGCCTACAATTCAAATGCTCAGGAATGTGCTCTAAATTGAAATTAGTCCTAAGTTTGGGGACAACAAGATTTGTCAGAAGAAATTTACAACAATTCTCCAGATTCTTCTTCCGACATGATGTACAGTGATATTAAATATAACAAATAGGATTATGATGAGTGTACAGTGTTACAGTATACATGGTTCAGTATTAGGGTGGGATCACTGATTACAGTGTAGGAAAATGTTTGCTAATATTATCTACTCATCACAACGAGCAGCCAGGCCATGGTCATATCATGATTTTTGAGGTGTAAAAAGGGTTATAATATTAAAAGTAAAATGGATTATAATGTTATTAAGTAAAATCACTCTTGAGATTATCCCTCACGTAACGCTCAGTCGCCGCTGAATGAGCCAAGCCCAATAATAACCATGGTTACTTGTACTTCCAAAGTTCAAACTGATGACAAGCTTTATACAGCTTTACACCCGCTAATAATATGCATTATATAATAATCTGAGTAATTGAGAGGCAATGTTTTGTTGCTGTATATCAGTGCCATTCATCGGAGAGCCTCCCAAAATTTGAACGCTCGTAATCTCTACCAGGTATAACCTTATGTAGTAAGTAGTGAGGAGGTGATATCACGTCCCCACTAATATGAGCACACTAATCTGTAAGGGGAACACTTCTCACGATAAGGCACTTGCCAGGCTGCAACACCAGCTAAGCTTTTTGTCGTTACATTACAGAAGCACTCTTCGCTCTCTGACGTCCCTCCCTCCCTAATACTCACTAGCCAATCACAGTCCAGTGTCCGTATCACGTGAGGTTTCATTAGCCAATCACAGCTAAGTGTTGTGTCACATGGCAGCAGCATCATAAAGTATACACTCGGCGATTGACAGTTTTTGTCATCACCATGGCTTCCAAAACCCTAACACGTGCAGAAAAGTCTGGCTCCCTATTGGGCGGTGGTGTGGTCACGTGTTCGCTAAGCCTCTCCTGATTGGCTGATGTCCCCAATTCTGCCATCTGATTGGTTAGTGTGTTGGAGCCTATTTTTTACCAGAACTCTGGGCTTGTTACACTGGGGGTGTACATTGCAAAGCAGCTAAAGCTGCAATGTGTGTGAGCTGGAGGTATCTTGTAGGGGTTCACTGAGGCGAATCCTCCAACTATTTATAGAGTTAAGGTTTCACATCAGCATATCCTTTGTTTTTCTAGATCATACCCGAATAAATCACGATATGTGATCCATATCAGGCTTGGTAAATTAGGTTCAAATATTTACATGCTAAACATTTTAGACTTTTTCTGTGAAATATGAAGGATGTCAAGATTCAAGAATAGCATGTTAATTGTTAGGACCAGGGTACGGTGTTGTTGTTAACAGTTATTTTAGGTATACATACCACTCCCAGTCTCAGAGTCAGTCTGTATCAGTATAGCAGAAGCACTATAATATAGTGCACTATATTATAATAGTGCACTATAATATAGTAGTTCACCACATATTATAAGTATGTTACTCTGTGATATATTATGATAAGTTATAATTTGTAGTACAACAACATAGTGTCAGGCCATGACACCTTCTGCCTGACCTAAATAGTATAAGATCATCTTTCTGGGTTCCTTCCACATTTCAACAGGTTAAATATCTAACGTTATTTAAGTTATTCCTGAAATATCTGTCATTTCAGGGTACCCGCCCCAAACCGAGACAGTCGAGGGAGATATTAAGAAGATAATATCCTACGAGGACCGGGACGAGAAAGTATGTAAGGTAACCAGGTATTACAAGCTTACCAAACTCAAGGTAGCTAAACCGATCGCTGAGCGAAAGAAGTGGAGGAAGTTTGGAGATTGTGCTACCGACGTATCGGGAATCAATCCAGCTAACAGCATGGTAAACTAGATCATTATCAAGTTTGTAGATATTGTTCAACATTAGCAACAGTGATTTAGCTTCATTACACCCTTCTTTCAACATTAAAAGCTCACTCTAGCTCTGAGACACACTGATTTGTCATGATTACGGGAGATTTTAATTAAACCTAGATTTGAGCCTCTAAAACTATGCCTGCTCAGTGCTCGCCTACTTTTACTACTTTTACTCACATATTTTACACAAACCTTATCTCTCAGCACATGTTTTTACCCCTCCCTTATCCAGGTGGGAGACGCTGTATTCCTTACACTTGCTACCAAGAAAGAGCAGCAAGACAATAAGGACGACGATGTTGCGGTTAGTTATATTTCTCACTTCTAACCGTAAATACCTACTAACCTAGTCCTACTTATACTCCCTTAATGATAGTGTGAGGCGTGTGGGTTATGCAAAAATGATTTAACGAATCTTCCGCATTGTATTTTCTAAACTCTACAATAATGTGAGGTTGTCTAAAAGTTTCAAGTTGATAAAAAAGTAAATATTACATAAATGTTACAGGAGAAGATGGCTAAACTGAAAGCCAGTGGTCAGGGCATGGTTGTATGCAGGATATGTAAGGGACCCCATTGGACTAAACAGTGTCCTTACAAGGACACTTTGGGCGTGGCTCTGGATGTGCAACAAGGAAATGGTAAGTTCAGGTGGTTCAGGTGGTTAGTTATTGGAGCGTACGAAATGGTGTACAGATTTATATTCTTATTTCATATCTATTTTGTTATAATAACTAGAAGTATTGTGTGTTAACTTCTGCGTTTGTTGTTTTCTAACTTGTTGTGAAAAGTAATTAACACTTTCTGGTGTGAAAATAGAAAACTCCCATTAAACCATGGCAGATGATGTAAAAACAAGTCTAGAATATCTAGGAATATGTAAGGCGCAATGTTAAAAACCCTGCTTTCCGTGATTTCACAGTGTAACTGAGTAACGCCTAGTGATTACATAACAGCACGTCATTCAACGTGTTGAAATGTTGAAATGTCAACGTGTGTTCTAGGGCACTGGCTTTACTACCCAGACACTTGACGCAGAAGGGTGTTTTTAAAGTTTGTGGAAAGTGATGCCTTGTGAAGGCCTGTCTCATATAATACGTGTGAAACATGGGGTTCGTTATGTCGTGTGGTTAAAATGTGGTTGACATCATATGACATATCCGTTCAGTTCTCAAATTATAAGTTTGAAAGATATGTGAGAAAATATGGAAATTGTTTCGAATACTTTAACTTCCCTATAGATTCTAGAATTTTGTGTTCAGTAATTTGAGCTAATATTTGTAATTTTCATCATTGTCCTCGTCTCGAATAGCACCTGTTAAAACTCGTTCCTCTCCTCTGATACACTTGATGTTTAACGTTATGTAATCTACCATTACGTGTTTAACTGGAATGTGCAGAAAGGCAACACTTACTTGACGTTCCCGCTGAAGAAATGAACCATCTAGTACTGGAATCAAGGTGAATTTTTATACACGCAGTGTTACATTGCAATGCAAATGAAATTAAGTACAGACTATAAAGTGGATAAATTAGGAAATTTATGTACATGATATTATTTATAGTATTATGTTTCCTCATATTAAACATTCATAAAATGGACTGCATACCTTTCAACATATTTGAGCGTATAGTTTACATTCCTCATGAGTGTGTGTGTAAGTAGTGTATGATATGAATGTTTAATTTTGATTTGTTTATCTTGTGCTTCATGACTACGTTACCTCATTGAAGCAATTTTGCCACATTTTCAGACGAATCTAACAGTACTGCTTAGAATGTACTGGAAAAATGATCTTATCTTTGAAGATAAATTCGAATTATGTCATTCCTGAAGCTGTTCTACCTTTACACAATACACATACACACTATGACCATCCGCCTCGATTAGATAATTAGATATAACGACAATATCTGAACATTTTGGAAACATTCCCTACTCAAGTTCCATGATATGTCATTAATATAACACCTTGCAGAACAAACAGCACTATACGAATGTGATAAGATATGCTACACTCGCATTTGTAGATAAAATGAGAAATAGTTACATAAGTTACAAATAAGTTAGGTGTTACAAATAAGTTAGGTGTTACAAATAAGTTAGGTGTTACAGTACGTCTGGGAAGTTCACACTGTCTCCAAATTATTACTGTTTACGATGTTAACCGTTGTTCAGTTATAAAAACTGGATTCCACTAGATATTCTTGAACGAGTTCAAAATGAACTTTTGAGGGTTTTCCATATCGATTATCGAAGCTTCACAGCTTCACATTCATCTACATTCAAGAATCCACCTTGACCAGCGTCTAAAATTCCAAGTCTCTAGGTTTAACGAAGTAAATTATTGTAATCCTAAAGATAACTTCAATAAACAGCTTTGAGATACAGCTTCTTGATTTGCCACCTTCTAACATCTCCCGTACGCGTAGTTTGTCTGACAACGTGCTCTCCTAACTACTTGCTTCACTACTTGCTCACTACGACACTACTTACTTCACGCTGCGTTACAGCCCACTGCGTTATTATCCCTACACAATATGACAATACAATAACCCACCCAGACTTAAAGGTCAGGTTTAATTACTACACAAGCAGCCAGCAGGTTCACAATACTAACATGTTCTCTCTCTCTCTCTCTCTCTCTCTCTCTCTCTCTCTCTCTCTCTCTCTCTCTCTCTCTCTCTCTCTCTCTCTCTCTCTCTCTCTGCCTCGACAGGATGCTCACTGTCTTCTTTTAATTATCCAACTTGAGCATCCCCTACACTACAACCTGTTAGCGTGACTGTGTACACTAGTAGTGTATTGTTTACAGTGCAGAATATATTAAAGTACGGTATGTAAAGTTAGCGAACTGTAAATAATATGTGGCCTAGGCCTCTGCTGTTTAGCACAGTCTCGTCATCTTTATCAAGTACCCTCTAAACTTGACGACACCGTGACTGAGTCTATTTCAACATTCCAATTTGGCAGCGAGCCTACTTCCATTTAATATTATCCAATCGAGCTGATGAACATTGGTTTCCTTTTAAGGTATGATTGGTAACCACTAAACGGGGGGTGTATTAATGTGATAGTGGTACATTTGCTTTAAATGTTGTCAATCTTGTGAGTGGTAAATTTCATTAAATGTAATATTTACTGCTCGTAAATCGTAATCACTGTAATTAATGGGGAGGTAATCAATAGAATAGGATATCAATAGCTGAGTAAGAACAATTTGCGGTTAACAAATTTACATTTCTTATAAATTGGTCCAAACGTTTGTAACGCTGCAACGCTCCAGGAAGTCTACATTTGTGGGTAGAGATAATTATCTTCTAGCAGCTTTACTCTGCTAATCATTTCCAGGATTACCAAACCATATCCTATTCGTTTCAACCAATAGGTAATCATCTTTCATGTTACCTGACATGTTTTATCCAATGAGAAGTAAGCCTCAAGACACGTGATATTTTTAATCCAACCAAAGATCATTTCAGTTATCACGTGATACAGTTATGTTTCCTGTCAAGGGTTCTTGATGTTAATTTCCGTGTTTAATTTCAGCTTGGGTTAAAACGATTATCCTTAAAAACTGGGAGGATTACCTATCAGAAACTGCTCAAAATTTACAGAAAATGTAATCATTCTCTAATATCGGCCATGTTAGCTTTGTTTGGTAATGTTATATTAAGTGTTCGAATGTTGTTCAATGATGTCATGTCACACTTTGAACTAGGATAACATTTTGACTATAGCTTGACAAATCGAACATTATTCCTGAAAGTGCGAAAGTGTGAGTTGTATTATAGCAAGAACATTAGCAATAATTATTAATTACATCTGTATGGCTGTAATTATTATTGCAATAATTGGTTCTGACGACGGTGAAACCTTTTACAAACCGTTTGTTAATGAAGTTAATTAAATAATTCTAACTGATAACTCCATATAATTATAATAACGAAGCTGTCAAAATTATAATATGTATAAACATGAACAAAAGCAGGTGCTGCTTGTTTCATAGTTATTTCATTCTCTAAAAACCACACCACTCATCAGAATCTTCTATAAGTGTTATCATGTAAATATTTCCTATATTAGTGTATAATGATATGAACTAGTGTATAATGATTTGCTTAATATTTAAATAATAAAATGCCTACTATTTACTAGAATGCCCAATATCCGAGTACTAAAATGCCCACTTTTTCAGAGGAAGCTAACTCCGTGAAGCCACCAACCCGGGCACCAGGAGCCTACGTTCCACCCTCAATAAGAAAAGGAGAACCTGCAGACTCCCAGACAAGGCAACGAGGTAAAATAACATACCATCATGCTATTAGTATAATTAGTGCTGTTAGTGCTATTAGTGCAATTAGTAACCCACATTCCTCAACCGGACCATCTCATATCGGTTGGGGCACAAGTTGTGAGAGCTATCGCTTTCGCAGTCAGATTATTTATTACGTGCACGACGATCTACAAATATATTACCTACTATACAACCTACTACTTAGTACTTACATATATATATACAGTATATACTATACTACCTAGATAAGGAAACGTTACTCGGAAGTGTATAATTCTGCTTGTTGCAAGAGCGAATGTACATCTAGTGTTCTATATTATGTTTATTACCGATGATTTCATTTAGAATGTCTAGCAGTAAATTCTCTCAACTATTCTGTTATCAAGACATCTAGTTCTTGAAATGATTTTGTTTTTTATTTGAGTGAGTTTGATTGTGTCAATTTGTTGTGCATGTTGAAATCATGTTGACTTCAGTATGTTTACATTAATTTGATGGCAAATTCCTCACGGTGCAGTATTGACACGTTATTGTAATACGTTTAATTTCAGATGAAAATCCAACCATTCGTGTTTCAAATCTGGCTGAAGAAACGTGTGAAAAAGATTTGCAAGATTTGTTCAAACCATTTGGGCCAGTCTCAAGAATTTATCTCGCCAAAGATAAGAACACTGGAATTTCAAAAGTGAGTACCACTCCCCTAAGAAAAATTCTTATAAGGGGGAGTCCCCTTATAACTTTATAAGCATTTTCTACAATTTTGCAGACCCACTCACACCTAATCTCATCGTTCCTAAAAATCCTACACCCACTTTCCCACAAATCAATACATATCACAGAGCTCACGCCGTGTTACCATGTGTTACACTGAGTACAAGTGTAATGATATTTGATACCAACTCGAAATCCTCGGCGCTTCATCGCCTTCCTCGCGTTAAATCATTGACTGAATCATTTATGACGTGTTATGATTAACAGTAAATATCCTGCATGCCACCATGACTTGAGAACAGTAAATATAAGACACCTATGTGACTTTCCGTTCACATGTAATGTAAATCTCGTATTAATTTCAATCATATAAATGATTTTATATCTTTCCCACGAAAATCCCTCCATTAAACCGCGCAACTTTGGGACACTTAACGTCAAAGGGGCGCATCTGCGGCACGCGCGAAACAAATGTAACCATGAAAATATGGAGGCTCTTGGTCCATATTTACGGCGCGTAGAGCCGCGCATTACATTTCAAAGTTTGCGACACTTTTAGGGAAGCGGGGCAGCCCTTCTAGACCAGGATACAACTGACAATAACAATTAAAATGTGATTAATTCCAGGGGTTCGCATACATTACGTATAATAGGAGAGAGTCAGCTGAATCCGCTTTACAAACGTTACATCGGTTCAGATATGGACATCTTATTTTGCAAGTCGAATGGGCCAAGTAAGTATCCACTATCCAATATGTTTTTAAACCAAGCTGAGAGATATTAGTTCATTCGTTGTCTTATAGTTTTTAACAGATGTCAGTTTATAACACAAGTGACATTCTTCGTGTAAGATATCGAAGGGGCACATTTCATGTGGCTCATATACCATACTGTGTCAAACTTTAACACGAACAAGTTTTTTTCTCGTGTAAACAATGCGCCTTTCTGTCACATTGTTTATCTTAAGATTAACAACATGGTGTATGGGGCTCTGTTGTAGTGTAGTATATTATAAACTAATGTCTCCCATTTCAGACCTTCTGGATCATGATGACCTATGACAGGCAGAGCATGACGCGGGACATCAGAAGACTTATTTATTTGAGTTATATTCGTTGTTTTAATATATGACACGATATCTGCGTTTCATTTTGTCAGTTAAACAATTAACAATAGAACGTTTACCAGTTACGATATAAGGTTGTATTATTTGCGTGGCTCCAGAGCCAGGCTTTGTTAATGTTTCGATCGCCCAAAAATTATCACGTGACTTGGATTTTGCAGCCGAACTAAACGGCTTCACAAAAACCCGAAGCTAACCCCACAACGATCGAATTTGCGTTCTACTAGCTTGTCACGTGACCAAAAACAGCTGCTTTGCCACTAACTCCTCTGGGGAGTATTTCTATCCTATGTCATGACGGTGACTCTGAATCAGTGTCAAAAATAGTCAATTTTAAATAGCCTCACAAGATTTTTCAAAGATTTGGGCGAGCGATTTAATGGGAGCGCCAGGTGCCACCTTTGTCAATATTCATACAATGAAAGATAACGTGTAAAAATAAATTAACGATAAAACGATCATTATACACAATAATTGAGCTCTTAATAACACATTATATACGAAAACAAAAGATCGCTCTGAAATATCAAGCCGACCTAAAAGGATGCTCAACTGAAGTACATAACTCAGAGATAACTCTCCGATAATAGATCAAAACTCAAAGTAATTCATATGATTCAATCGTTAATAATTTCCAATTAGAAGATGAGTCTTCGCCTGCAAAGACTGTGTCCTGATAATCAAATAAAAGGCTTCCATAATCTATATCCTTTTCTAAGCACCACCGACTTTCTTGTTGTTACCCTGAAAAGAAACTGGTATCAAATCTGAAAGCTACAATTCATATCATCATTTAACACATTTACTGCTTGACGAGGTAATGATAGAGGTATGACCGTAAAGAGTAATCTCTCACTGATTTGCTCAGTTCAGTTTATTCTAGTTATGAAAACAGTCCTGTAATGTTAGATGAAGTAGCTTACCAGTAGGACCGCAATAATGACCCCGAACAGTCCAATAGCACTACCGAAGATTTCAATCACCAAAATCTGTGGATATTTAAGAATTGTCAAAACAGATCGCATTGTTAAACAAGTTCTACCCCGGATATTGGGTCAAACTGTTTCAAGTAATATCATTAAACGGAGTTTTTGTTATTGATACGCCATGTAAAAGCTATGATCATATCATGCTGCTCACATCATGTAAAGAGTGCTTATTAATTTAAACAACTTACCCTGACGAATAGATCTGAGTTCTGTGCATCAGCTAGGGCGGCCCCACTGAAATGGTTCTGTGATTACATCATTACACTTGACACTGGTGTGATTGAATCAGTCTTGACTCTCGTACACTCCGTAAGCTTGGGATCAACCGGATACACCAATTGCGCGCAGCATCTATTGCTAGTTTTTAGTGCCGACAGTCACATGCTGCATGTATACGCGCGTATAAGTTCCGGGCGCGCGGTAGACCCTTCAAATAATTATGTGACAAAACATGGCACACACTCGTGATGGAATTTACACAAGGCAATGAAATGTAACTCGATCATTAGGTCACAATACTGTAGTGATGACCTCTATCACCAGGGAACGGGACAGGTTTTTGTTTCAGACTTTTCCGTTAACATTGATGATACAAAGCAGTCCTCTTTCATTTGCTTTTTAATCGATGCTTGTTAAATGTGAGCTCATATTTCACCCTTCTTCATGAATATTAATATGGTCAGAAATACCTTGGCTCATAGCAAGAAGTATAATTAGAGCCAAAACATAAGTAAGCTCATCATTACCTTTATAGTAAAACTGTGTGTGAGTATTAACTATTACATGAAAAGAAGTGCACTAATTGATCCAGGTGCTCAGGTGGCGTGTAAGCAATATGTTGCTACTCCGAGAAAAGCACACTATTATGTTGACTCATCTGGTTCCTACTTCCTTAAATACTTAAGGAACTCGTTAAGCGAGTCGGTACAATGTTTCTAGATGCTGTGTCCTCATAACACATCCTACGTTAACGTAAACACTGTAGTTCTGTAACTACTACTGTAGTTCTGTAAGAGAATAGTGCTTTAAAGATCACGTGTTAAAGATCAGGTGTTAAAGATCACGTGTTAAAGATCACGTGGTGGTACAAACCAATTAAAACGCACCTGCCGACAATACCAACACATATCCCACAGGCTAGATTACACAGTCCAGTCAGGAGTCCAGCGAAGAAGAGACAGTATCCTGAAATTGGCAAGCAATCAAATATACTGCATATTTAGTTACATATAACATATGTAACATATTTAGCTGCATATGAAACCACTATATGATCTGACTACAGGCAGTGTAAAAGTTCATTATAAAACACCATCATCATGTGAGCTACATCATGAAACGTAAGACTTGTACTAGGATTTACAATGAGACTCAATGTTATTCCAAGTTACCGTTGTAGACGTAAGTAAAGGTTAAAGTTACCGTTGTAGACGTAAGTAAAGGTTAAAGTTACCGTTGTAGACGTAAGTAAAGGTTAAAGTTACCGTTGTAGACTACACTATACTATTACTACTACTCTCTACTATGTTATTCCAAGTTACCGTTGTAGACGTAAGTAAAGGTTCAAGTTACCGTTGTAGACGTAAGTAAAGGTTAAAGTTACCGTTGTAGACTACACTATACTATTACTACTACTCTCTACTATGTTATTCCAAGTTACCGTTGTAGACGTAAGTAAAGGTTCAAGTTACCGTTGTAGACTACACTATACTATTACTACTACTCTCTACTATGTTATTCCAAGTTACCGTTGTAGACGTAAGTAAAGGTTAAAGTTACCGTTGTAGACGTAAGTAAAGGTTAAAGTTACCGTTGTAGACTACACTATACTATTACTACTACTCTCTACTATGTTATTCCAAGTTACCGTTGTAGACGTAAGTAAAGGTTCAAGTTACCGTTGTAGACTACACTATACTATTACTACTACTCTCTACTATGTTATTCCAAGTTACCGTTGTAGACGTAAGTAAAGGTTCAAGTTACCGTTGTAGACGTAAGTAAAGGTTAAAGTTACCGTTGTATACGTAAGTAAAGGTTAAAGTTACCGTTGTAGACGTAAGTAAAGGTTAAAGTTACCGTTGTAGACGTAAGTAAAGGTTCAAGTTACCGTTGTAGACGTAAGTAAAGGTTAAAGTTACCGTTGTATACGTAAGTAAAGGTTAAAGTTACCGTTGTATACGTAAGTAAAGGTTAAAGTTACCGTTGTAGACGTAAGTAAAGGTTTAAGTTACCGTTGTAGACGTAAGTAAAGGTTAAAGTTACCGTTGTAGACTACACTATACTATTACTACTACTCTCTACTATGTTATTCCAAGTTACCGTTGTAGACGTAAGTAAAGGTTAAAGTTACCGTTGTAGACGTAAGTAAAGGTTAAAGTTACCGTTGTATACGTAAGTAAAGGTTAAAGTTACCGTTGTAGACGTAAGTAAAGGTTTAAGTTACCGTTGTAGACGTAAGTAAAGGTTAAAGTTACCGTTGTAGACTACACTATACTATTACTACTACTCTCTACTATGTTATTCCAAGTTACCGTTGTAGACGTAAGTAAAGGTTTAAGTTACCGTTGTAGACGTAAGTAAAGGTTAAAGTTACCGTTGTAGACTACACTATACTATTACTACTACTCTCTACTATGTTATTCCAAGTTACCGTTGTAGACGTAAGTAAAGGTTAAAGTTACCGTTGTAGACGTAAGTAAAGGTTAAAGTTACCGTTGTAGACTACACTATACTATTACTACTACTCTCTACTATGTTATTCCAAGTTACCGTTGTAGACGTAAGTAAAGGTTCAAGTTACCGTTGTAGACTACACTATACTATTACTACTACTCTCTACTATGTTATTCCAAGTTACCGTTGTAGACGTAAGTAAAGGTTAAAGTTACCGTTGTAGACGTAAGTAAAGGTTAAAGTTACCGTTGTAGACTACACTATACTATTACTACTACTCTCTACTATGTTATTCCAAGTTACCGTTGTAGACGTAAGTAAAGGTTCAAGTTACCGTTGTAGACTACACTATACTATTACTACTACTCTCTACTATGTTATTCCAAGTTACCGTTGTAGACGTAAGTAAAGGTTCAAGTTACCGTTGTAGACGTAAGTAAAGGTTAAAGTTACCGTTGTATACGTAAGTAAAGGTTAAAGTTACCGTTGTAGACGTAAGTAAAGGTTAAAGTTACCGTTGTAGACGTAAGTAAAGGTTCAAGTTACCGTTGTAGACGTAAGTAAAGGTTAAAGTTACCGTTGTATACGTAAGTAAAGGTTAAAGTTACCGTTGTATACGTAAGTAAAGGTTAAAGTTACCGTTGTAGACGTAAGTAAAGGTTTAAGTTACCGTTGTAGACGTAAGTAAAGGTTAAAGTTACCGTTGTAGACTACACTATACTATTACTACTACTCTCTACTATGTTATTCCAAGTTACCGTTGTAGACGTAAGTAAAGGTTAAAGTTACCGTTGTAGACGTAAGTAAAGGTTAAAGTTACCGTTGTATACGTAAGTAAAGGTTAAAGTTACCGTTGTAGACGTAAGTAAAGGTTTAAGTTACCGTTGTAGACGTAAGTAAAGGTTAAAGTTACCGTTGTAGACTACACTATACTATTACTACTACTCTCTACTATGTTATTCCAAGTTACCGTTGTAGACGTAAGTAAAGGTTAAAGTTACCGTTGTAGACGTAAGTAAAGGTTTAAGTTACCGTTGTAGACGTAAGTAAAGGTTCAAGTTACCGTTGTAGACTACACTATACTATTACTACTACTCTCTACTATGTTATTCCAAGTTACCGTTGTAGACGTAAGTAAAGGTTAAAGTTACCGATGTAGACTACACTATACTATTACTACTACTCTCTACTATGTTATTCCAAGTTACCGTTGTAGACGTAAGTAAAGGTTAAAGTTACCGTTGTAGACTACACTATACTATTACTACTACTCTCTACTATGTTATTCCAAGTTACCGTTGTAGACGTAAGTAAAGGTTTAAGTTACCGTTGTAGACGTAAGTAAAGGTTAAAGTTACCGTTGTAGACTACACTATACTATTACTACTACTCTCTACTATGTTATTCCAAGTTACCGTTGTAGACGTAAGTAAAGGTTAAAGTTACCGTTGTAGACGTAAGTAAAGGTTAAAGTTACCGTTGTAGACGTAAGTAAAGGTTAAAGTTACCGTTGTAGACTACACTATACTATTACTACTACTCTCTACTATGTTATTCCAAGTTACCGTTGTAGACGTAAGTAAAGGTTAAAGTTACCGTTGTAGACGTAAGTAAAGGTTAAAGTTACCGTTGTAGACGTAAGTAAAGGTTAAAGTTACCGTTGTAGACGTAAGTAAAGGTTAAAGTTACCGTTGTAGACGTAAGTAAAGGTTAAAGTTACCGTTGTAGACGTAAGTAGCGTAGTTTTCCTTGAAACCCTCCTCAGTCGAAGCCTGTGAAATATTAATTAATACAAAGCATGGTCCAGCTGCCAACATGTTGCTGCCGTACATGGAAATGAAATATGCATGTTGAACGCAGATGGAATGAAGTATGCATGTTAGTGTTACCCTAGGGCCAATAACAAATGTGCTGGAACATGGTCCCGGCTAATCACAAATTACGGTAGTCAATTGACCAAAGCCGAAGTCGTTATTTAGCTTCTATGGTCATACAACATTATTATATCGTATTTAAGGTGATTACTTGAAAATGATACGTTTGAAAATGATACGTTTTAAAACTTACGTCGATGTTCTGGACTAAGATTATAGCAATAATGATACCGTAGATAGCTACAGCTTCGCAGAAGATGACACTGACAAGATTCTTGGTTTTAATTCGGGGTGCTTTAACTCCACCTCCAACAATGGACACTCCAGTTATGAACATACCCCTGAAATATGAAACATTAATTAAAAACAAACCGCTGGAAATAAAACGCTTATTATAAATTTACACAGAAAACTGAAACATGGTATAAAAATAGCCAAACCCAAAATAAGATCATGTAAATATGATAATTTTAAACAAGTCAGTTAAACCAGCTGACAAACTAACCAAGCAGCACCAAGCACAGAGAGGAACATAGCACTAGCGATACCTAAACAGGCCCAGGTGTAGGGGGAGATGGCTTCCAATACCCATCCTACATCATACTCTCCTCCTCTACCAGAGAACATGTAGTACAGACCTGAGGGAGGGGGGGTTAGATGTTGGGCAGGTAGGTGATGGGGTTAGATGTTGGGCAGGTAGGGGGAGGTGAGGGGGGTTAGATATTGGGCAGGTAGGAGGTGAGTGGGGGGTTAGATGTTGGGCAGGTAGGAGGTGAGGGGGGTTAGATGTTGGGCAGGTAGGAGGAGGTAAGCGGGGTCTTAAAATCATTATTTCCGTGGCTTCTCTTTCTAGAAGAAACAAAAGTTTAAGAAAAACAACAAGTAGATGTATAGTGAATAGATTTACAGTTTGTTGACTAACCGATGACGGCGAACGCTAACAGAGTAGCATAAGAGGTGTAGTAACAGCCATAAGCGTAGCTTCCTTTGCCAGAGTTGGCGTACGGCATGTTGATTTGCTGTTGATTTGAGTCTTGGTACTTAACCGCCTACTTTGGGTTGAATGTGTTACTCCTCAAGTTAAATAAAATTTCCAAATATTTCGCGGTTCATGGTTGACACAACATCATTAGATTACAGCTTTTTGAAACACATAAATCTGGAACAAGAAGTTTAAAACATCATTTCATATCGAAATATTTATCTTAAATGCTGATTCACCTCAAACTTAATATTACCAAAGTCAGTTTAAATTTAAAAATTACATGGAAATTTAACAAACCTCAAGTCTGAAAACCAAATCAAAAAGTTAATAAATTATCTAAACATGCAAATTGCAGATCAAATCATTAGCATATAAAAAGGTCCAGCCTCTCTTCAAAAAATATATTATATATATACAAAAAGCATCCCCATAAATCGATAATCAGTCTGATAAAACTTAAAAACAGAAGCTAAACGTAATATTTCTCTTGTACTCCTCTCCTTCAGGTAAGATACAACTAGGAAAAGCTGGAACATTAACCGCATTCGGAAAGTTCTGGGCTTCCAGTGCAATCCCTCCATGTTTACCATAAACCGCCCCTCCCTTACCCTTGCTCTCATCCAGGAAGTTACCAGAATACACGTGTACACCTGGCTGGTCAGTGAGCACTCTGATTCTGTACTGTTCATCTTTAGAGGCTATCTCAGCAGCAGGAACTACAAATCCTGATTTGGAACATAAGTGGAAGGAGTGATCGTATCCTCCCGGAACATCAGTTATGAGATCTCCAATTCTGGAGATATCCAGGTTGAAAGGGGTTCCTTTAGTTGATAATATCTCCCCAGTTGGGAGTACAGTTTCAGGATCCATTGGTAGGTATCCAGCGTAATCAAACACTGTCAGTTTATTGTCCAGAGCAGAGCCTGAATCCTGGCCGTCCATGTTGAAGTATGGATGGAATGTCAGGTTTATGGGAGTGGCTTGATCACAAGTAGCAGTCATGTCAAGTGACAGGAATGTTCCTTTTACCTTGCCACGATTAGATTTAGTTCTGATAGAAACAATTACAGTCACCTCCAAATTTCCAGGGTACCCCTCACTCCCGTCTGGTTGGGTATGAGAAAACTTGAGTGTATCTCCGACAATCTCACAATCCCATACTACTTTAGATAAGCCAGTAAAACCACCGTGTAGATGTGTCTCATTGTTGTTGTTTAGTGTTAGCTGGTATTCTTTACCATCAAGTTCAAATTTACCATGTGCTATTCTGCTAGCAACCCTACCAATAATACACCCAGAATAGAAATCATGAGTTTCATATCCTGATACATCATCAAACCCGAGCAGTACGTCTCGTTTGGAGTCTGTACCGCTAAAAATGAATGATACTAGCGAGATGCCATAGTCTGTGATTGCTATTCTAACGCCTGTGCCAGTATCTGCTGTGTATAGAGAACATTCTTTGCCTGAAGTTAACTTCCCAAATGGTTCTTTCGTCCACATTCAGCTATCCTGAACTAAGTGGTTGTTAGATATTGTGCTTCAATTTGATCCATTTGATTAAATTTCATTTTAGGAGTCGTTCATATCATATTGCGTAATCAATTTGTGGCCGATTTAAAACCCCTCCCCTTCCCTCCGTTATCAGTTTTACACATAACTATTAACTATTGTGTTTAAATCGCAAGTTAGCGTAATTATTTGGAAAACCCCTCCCCCTCAGTTATTACTTAACATGAGAACGACCCCTTATAAAAATTTCAATTTATAAGGTACTACCTGACGCATTTGGTCAAATTGATTGAAAAATTATTTCATTTCATAAATTTATAGGTTCATTGTGAGATCAAAAAAAAGCAATAGTTAGAATAACAATAGATTCATAGATTGAGGTACATTGTAAATAAATAATATATAAAATATCGAAAGATAGTTTTAACATAAAAGTTTTTGACATATATCAAAAAGTCTCATCGTATTTAAGAACATGTAAAACAATCAAAAGTTTCAAGACTATACCCTTTTGAATATTATGTATATCATGCAAGTTATACATTCTAGGAATTTTAACCAAACATTAGGAAAATATCCCTTGCCTGAAGGTTTCAGATCGTAAGTGTTAATTTTACTGGCCAAAAAAATAATTGCACATGTTACATCCCGTTTTAATCAAACAAAATCCTAAGCAAATATTTTGTGAATTCATAGAAGTGTGAACGATCGATGCAATGTAGATGTAAAATTTCTGTTGGAATAATTTAAAGTTATTATCAACCCGATTAAACCCGAACAAATTGAAAACTTTATAACGATCATATGCTGTGATTTTAAATATGATTCTTCTCAACAAAAACTACGGAATCAAAACTTCTGAAAGATTAAAAGATTAAAAGAATACTGTGATAAAGTACTAATTATTAAAATAAATCATCTCTAGCTGCTAAACTTGGAGCATTTAAGGCCTTCAAGAACACGTCTGTTAATTAGATATAATTTGTTTTATATACTCTGATCAAAGAGCTTCCACTGTAAATAAAATAAAAATCTGTCTATGTACATGCATATTACGAAAATATACGATATTTTAGCACTCTGTCTGCAATAAAAAGGTTAATCTGAAGATAAAATCAAGATGAATGATGAATGATTTTAAAACTGAAGTCCTTGAAACCCTGGACCTTCAGTAAAATGTCTCTGTTTGAGAACACTGTACAGAATAAGGGATAAGCTTAGTGCCAAACCACTTCGAGCTTGATCAAAAATAGAGAAAATAAACATTTAAGTTATTATAATATATGGAGTGCTTTACATTAATCACTATGAATGAATTTCTGATCAAAATTATTCAACCTAAATACTTAATAAAAAATTCTGAGGGTAGTTAAAATCTAATTTCTACTGATAGGAGCATAATTCTGTTTGTTTTTCAACTGTCTTCGAATTTCTTGGCCTTGACAAAGCCGCATTCCTTGAGCTATTTAAGTCCGTTTACCTTTCCACCTGTTGAAACCTTGCAACTTAACGCCTTCTACCACAACAGAAGATGTAGACCAGTACCGCAACCACAACACCAACAATAACCAGTCCAATTACCACGTACAGTACTTCTCTAAAGTCGTTCAGGTCAGCTGATGGATTGTACGAGCTGTTTCTTTTCTCAAGCTTTAACACTTCCTCGTCTTGTATTGATCCAGAACACACAGACTGGAATACATCCAGCATGAGCAACAACATCACAATTCTTGTTCCAATCATCTTGGTAGTTTAAGGCTATGGTTTTAATGTTATTAGTGAATTTAGCAAGTCATTTAAAGCAAAATAGATATCATTAGAATTAGTAAAAATTGGGATAAGCATTATTTATTATGTACAAATTTAATCAAAATGAAATTAAATAATGAAATTTCACAACCCCAATGGATATTTAATGATGAGACACATGAAATGGTGCTTCTCATGTGTTGCAGGAAGAACAGGATTTTATACTGTTCACTTGGTGAGTCATTCGTTTAGCAATTTACATTGTGCTAGAATGAGAAAAGTTGATATATAATAGGTTAATGATAGTGAGTTACACACTCGTGTGTAACACAGTAGCTGATAAGGCATGTAATGTGTAGTACAAGTATTGAATTGTTGGGACTGAGTTGTCCGCAAGATAACTTAATCATATAGCATCTGACTGGTTTCCGTGAGGTCTTGGGTTCAATTCCTGCTCTCGGCACATCTCACCCCGACTTTTCACGAAAACATACTATCTTACTGCCTTGATTCGGTTAGCTGAATGAGAATGAGCCATGCTGGCCCACAAGATGAATTATATATATAATACTACTTTAGATAGACGAAAAGTTGTACATGAATAATGAGAAGTCTTATAATGCACTCACTGCATTAAAATAGCAGCAGTAAATATGATAGCCCAAAAAACTCTGTTTTTGAGCACAATTCCGTTTGTTAACCCTAATTGGTGGTGTTGAAAACCCAAGTTGCTTACTGCTTTACTGAACCCAGAAGCGGCCCAAACCCGCACAAACATTAAATACAGTTAGGCAATACCAGACAGTGTGAAATTACTGGTGCACGTATTTGAGTACATTATTATTATTAAATCTAAAATAGCTAATAATTTAATAAATTATTAACAGGCCCCTTAACGTGGGCAATAATATACGCTTTATAAATTATATAAACAAATTGCAGTATATTTTTCCAATGTTGTTAAGTGTCTCTTTAGATCTGTTTTGGTGTTTTGTGGGAGTTCCCACATTTGTTGGTTGAGAATGCTCAACATAACATACATGATGCTTGACTGCTTTATTGACCCGGACAGGCACCGGGGGCACACATCCCAACACCAGTGCGTTGGGACATAGTGTTGGTCTGCTTCAGGATGTGTTAGATCCTAGAGAAGCCGCCATCCCCTCTACTGCTTTAGCTCAGCGGCAGCATGAGCCCTGGTTTCCTGCCACATTGGTACCTCTGAAAGTACAGAAAAGTGGTGGATTTCGGGGTCCAGGATCCTCCCTCTTTAATCTTTACGGTGGTGTTATTTCTCTGAGATGTTTGCAGAGTCTTTATTTTATGATCTTTCTAGTTTAGTTGGATAAATCCTGGAGAGCATCATTTTGACCCCAAAGAAATTCGACTCTTCTAATGAATGCTTTTTGTGTGCTGCTTTTTGTTAACACTTCATCTAGATAGGAATGTGAGTCAGCCCACCCAGCTCTTCTTTTAGCTGCAGGTAACTAGTGTCTTGCACCTCCAGACACAATAGGAGCTGGTGTACAGGAGAATCATCGAAGCTGTTGCAGAAACGACAGGCCTCACCACTGTCACCACCCATGATCTTTTGGATATTCGCAAAGAGTGGTGAGCTGCCGTGAATGTAGTCCATTATTCGGCTGTCCAGATTTTTACTCGTGTTGTGCCCGAATAAGAAGTTGTTTTTGTCTAGGAGCAGCCCACTGTTTTTGATCTTTGTGATCACACCAAGTATCTTGGTCTCCTTGTTGTTACTGACAGTTCTGCATTGCAGATTTGTTTCGATGCTGTCAATCCAGATCTTATTTTTGTAGCTCATTATGTCTGCCTGAGTGTAATAGGCCAGATCCTTGAAATGTTGCTGCGTTAGGTCTATCATTCTGGTTCAGTGTGACTTATTTTCTTTCCAAAGGAAGTACTTTTTCAGTGACATTGTTAAGACATGAAAGCTTTGAGTACAACTGATAGTTTGAGTACAACTGATAGTTAAAGCAATACGTAGTCATAAGGTTAAATTAATGCGTTACGTTTGACACATTTTCGTATAGTTGATGTGAATGATAAACACCTCAGTGTATCGATATATGGTATGTGTAATAGTAATCGCTACTCATGTGATGTGTAAATGAGCCCTAATTGGCAGCAATTTTGAGGTATAGAGCCTTGATATATTTAGATACCTGGTATGAAGAGGTTATTTATAACAGAGGGCCAGGGGGAAGAGGGTTTAAAAACCTTTGACACGCCACGCAAATTCTGATGCTTGCTTTGCATTGTGACAAATTCGCAATGCAGCTATACCACGAGCTAGAACAAATTGACATCGTTGATCAACCTTGGGCCTTGCTTAGCCAGTTCCTACAGGAGTAATATGTTTTAAACGGAACAAAAGCTATCACTATCAACTTAAAATTGAATTAAGTAAAACAAAATTTTATATTTGAGACCATCTGGAGGGCCTCCAGATGGTCTCAAATCTTGAAAAGACCTTTTCAATACGGTATAGGTATTAGGTATAGGTATTAATAATCAAAAATCAACTTTTTGCTTGTGTCACCTAGTAGCAATTGTTTTATATACAGTCCTGGTCACTCAATTTCACAATAATAGAAACAATAATGTGCAAAAATTTTACGAGTATCACCCATTATATTAAGACCGAAGACAAGTCCAACTCGGCGCGCGATTTGGTATAGATTGTAAATCTTGTCATACGTTGTATGACCCGCCGCGCACGAGTGCGCAGCTCCCCTGTATCGTCAGGACCATAGTGAAACGACCGTGAAACGACCGTGAAACGACCGTGGGGGTCGAAACGTGATACAATGTAAATCTACAATTTCATTCAACAACATTTTAAAAAATTGACATGGTTCAATTGACGATGTCAATCCTTCGCACGCGCAGCTTGGCGAATCAAAATGGTACATTTTGCCAATTTAATGAATGTGATTGCGAGAAGCATTATTGGATGCGCGGCGCATGAGTGCATGATCGCGCTACAAGCAAAACATAGCCAATAAAAAATCGAGCTTAACTAGTATTTATTTGTCATACGTTGTATGACCCGCCGCGCACGAAGTTTTTTCTTTTTAACTATAAATACTTGTATCACGTGGTGACACAAGTATTTATTTACCTGAGGACCCCAGGCTATTATGTTCATTAACATATAGATTTGGCGGAATGACAGGCTGAGCGCGGCCCAGTAAGTATTTATAGTTAAAAAGAAAAAACCAAGTAAAAGACTATAACCAACCTTAGTAATCGAAATCGTTGCTTTGCTTTGCAGAGCAACGTTCTGCATAAAGCAAGAATGATACTGGATAGTTTGCGCGTCGAATACCTTCGATTGAGCCGCTATTATACAAAACGTGAAGGATTTTAGCGCGATGCACCACTGGGCCGCTACAATAGCATACACATTATTTTATATCGTATATATTCATGTATATTGATATATTATTCATGAATCAGTAATCAATATTCAGCTTATTAGCGCGCATGCACAGGTGAATTAGCTAGGCTAAGCAAGACGCGCGAACACTTTTGCGCAAGCAGTTCAGCAATAAATCTTTACGCGCCTTCCGTTTACACAAAGTTTAACGTTTGTTATGGAGTTGCCGTCGTAAATTATGCGTTATCTTTATGTTAAATCAAGTCTCCTCCATTCGTGCAGAAATCTCCAGAAAACTTCAATTCTCTACTTGTTCATTAAATTGACATACTATTATTTAAAACATTTTCAAGTTAAAATAATTTATTACTACGAAATGGTTTAAATAGTTGTCAAGAAGATAGTACTTGAACTTTTTCATCATAAGGTTAATTTGGGACCGAACCAAGGTCGTGTAATTATCATTCGAAAGTTTTTACATGAAACACAGAGTATGGATGCCGAAGATATCGGTAATTTTCTTAATTACATCGCTTTTTCACACAACTATAAATTATGCGCTCATCGACAAATATTCCAACGCCACCTCTGCCTAGTGTCTATATTAACTTAGAAAGAAAACTGCATCTTTGGTTTATGTACTTAGCCATTATACAAATCTGAATTATAACAAATTTATATAGCATTCAAATAGTCTGATCAAAGTTAGAAGTCGTCAAAATCGGTATAAAAGTATAAATGTTTCTAAGTTCGAGCAGCTAAATTCGTCTGAATACTGTGTTTAAGCTCTTATAATCTGTACAACCAATACAAGGTTATCAAAGCTTTTCTGTAAACTTAGCAAGGAAATATTAAAATGGGTAATAAAAATAAGTTAAAGCTCTGATAATGGTTATTTAACAGCATGGCTCTGTTTTTGAGCTGCTCCAAAAACGGAACAAAGTAATTTAAATATTATCATAATAAATCATAACTGAATTTAACCCCTTTCCACGTAATTCAATTTAATCGTGAAGTCTTCAAACTGATAACGAAACGATACAAGACTTATCAGGACACAAATTTCAATTGTCTTTCGTTTGTTGAATATGACATGAATCACTGCAATAAGTAAAAGATAGATTTATAAATATCTCAAAGTCCTAGGCCCATAGGTCTGGAGCATCTCTGATCGTCAAGTCTATTGCCCTGCATCCGAGATATCAGCTGAAGAAGCTCTCCTCACTCTCCGTAACGCTCACGTTGCTCGGTGCTCCACGTAACTTGTTGCTGCGCAGCTGAGTCCAGATCTCAGAATTAGGTGCTACACGAGTGTTCGTCTTCAGCAGGTTCTGAGAGATGGGCGGCATATTGTTGGAGAATGTTCTGAGAGGAGCGTGATTATCTGCCCCCTCGTTCTTATTGAATCTCTTAGGTTTAGGTCTGACTGGAGTGTTGTGGTAGCCACGTATCTGAGATACGGGAGGGTAGGATGTATTGTTTATGGGCGAGGTAGAGGGGGATTTTATCTCCTCCTTGACGATGGGAAGCGGAGCACGCTGGTCGTCATATCTGTTAGCCATGTGCTTGTGGAGGAGCTCGAAGAAGTCCTCATTCAGTGACATGCCGGAGAAATGAGAAAAGTTAGTTTGACCAGTCTGAGCTGTGTGTGCAGTGCGGACAGATCGCACTGATTGGGTCATGTTGGTGTTTGAAAAGTTTTTAGATTTAGGTTTGAGATATCCCAGGCCAGGCTCCTCGGGGAGGGGTTCGTGAACTTGGGGTTCGCTGACCCAGTTGTTGTCGGGAACTTGTATGCGAGGTGGTCGAGGTGATGTGGTTGTGCAGGAGTTGCGACGTTCTCGTGCGAACTCTGATTTAGGGACGGTCGGTTTATCTTCCAGCTCACCATCAGGTCCAACCTCTACACCCAAGAAGTTACCTGTAGATAAAGCAGGGTTAGCATTCTAATTAATAAATACGATTATTAGTTAACTTTATAAATGATATCCATTTAGGTTTACACGTGTATAGTATGCAAGAGGAGAATCTTCTGATCTTCTTCCAATTTAAAAGTTAATCGATAAATCAAGAATACGAGGAATACGCAGTAAACACAAGCTATGAGTATGATTAAACTATCAAATCACAGACTAAAATCTCACCAATATCGTTGATCATCATTTAGCAGCAGCGGACGCGACATTGTCCTCCATTTCTGTCGCTAGATCGTAGAACTTTCTAGCATTATCCAGAGCTTTGTTTAGGTGACCACTATTGCTGAAAACATTGGATAACATCCAAAATGCTCTTCCTTCCCCAACTTTATCACCTGAAAGAAGAAAATCATTAGATTTATTAATCGCAGAACACTGACCGAATATCCACTAGGTGGGTCAGTAAGCTGGTAAATAGCATACTGTTAAACAGAGCTTTCTAGTAGACTCACAGTTCTTAGATCTTTAGATCACAATAGATGGCATTGTGGCATTGTATCACCAGCATATACGGTAAGATATTTCCACTTAGAATTATATTCTTAGATCACAGCTAGAGTGTAACATGCTGTGAACCAAGTGTGCGCGTCTCTGTAGTGTTAAGAGATATGGAAATTAGTTGAAACATATTGTGTAGGGTTGACACTAGTCGTGTGCTACTAAGAAGCAGATTTCATCACCCGGATGATCTAGAATGTTCTGAATCATCGCCGTGATGATTCAGCAATTACAGCAGAGAGATATTTTGTTAGATTTAGCTTGGGTTGACCAATTGCGGTCAAATTAGGGTCCTTTCAAGAGAGAGCTGTCGTGATCTTAAAACGTGTAACTTTCTAATTTTGTGATTGGGTGAAATTAAGTTATCTACTCACCAAGTTTCTGAGCGATGCAGAGATGACGATTGTAGTATTCGGCAGCTTTCTGATAGTTCCCCACAATACTGTTGTTATTACCTGGCGGGTAAATAATTGTTAGGAACGATATTATAAGAGAGTGAAATTTAAAAACCAACGTTCGATAAAGGTATCGATCTAAAGAAAGTTTACAATATTACCCAATAAGCATGTCAATATATCAAAAAATGTAACTTAAGCAGTATATTTATTATAACTTATTATTACTTGTTATAAGCTAAGTTGTTCCTACTAATTAGATCTAATTAGTTACTCACCTAAGCAGTAGTAAGCTTGGCCCTGAGCGGCCGTGTCTCCCTGCTCAATAGCCACAGTCAGGAACTTCTTCCAGTACTCACTAGCTTCCTCAAACTGTCCCAGTAGGGCGTGGCACAGCGCTAGGTTACTGCAATTATATGGTTATTAGTTAAGTTACTTACTTATTGTTAATTATATGGTTATTAGTTAAGTTACTGGAATAAGATATGTCTTAGTAAGTCAGAGCTAATTGCTCTCCCTATCATCTGTTGTACAATAATAAGGAGTTTCTCAAAATCTTTAACACCCAAAAGTCATTGAAATTGGATACAGTTCTTTTCCTTCCAAGTTTTAATAATACCGTATAATATTCCAAGTTTCTATGTACAAAACGTAATAGTGAAAAAATATTTAACATAAGCCTGTCTCTCACCTGTAAGCTCGACGTTCAGCCACTTGATCACTATTCTTCTGGGCTAACAACAATCTCTTTCTGTAATAAAACAATGCTTTGCTGTAGTTACCAAGCAGGTAATACACGTTACCAAGACAACCGCAAGCTTGTCCTTGCATCTTGATGTCCTTCAGATCCTCTCCCAGTAACAGGTAATCCTGAAATTCACACATAATTATTATTTATTTATCTATTAGCTTCTAAAAAGCATGAAACACATCATATATGACTAAGAGCCAAAGCGGACGCTGCAAAATTGGACAGTGTTCTTAGTAAGTGTTTAACAGTAAACTGTACTGAGTAAATTATTCAAGTTAACAAATAAAACTGACATACCTGCAAATGATCCTGAGCCCTGATAAAACAGTTGTAAGCGTTAATCTGATCCTGAGACTCAGTAGCAATGTGTCTCCCCTGCATGTAGGCGACTACACCCGCGTTGTACCGGGCACTTGCTTCTGATTTCTTGTTCTTACTTAGTTCCGCTAGAGTCAGCTGCTTCTCAGCTGCTAGAGACGCTTCACTGTATTTTCCTGGATAAGATAAATGTTATGGTAATTGTACTTGTTTGGTACCGATATTGTTACTTACTAATGTGAATTATATCAAATATTAGGCAGCTGTATCACTTAAAAACTCCTGCGTGGTACTATAAATAACGAAGCTTTATTCATGCTTTTCATACAAGTTACAAGTTATGTTATATAACAAGCAGTAGTATTTACTAACCTAGCATTCTGAGAGCGCAGGAGAGATTGTTCAGAGCTTCAGCCTGTCCCGCCATGTCGCCCAGGTTCTGCGTTATCTTCAGGTCCTGTCGTTCATAAAGTTAACAAACTTAAATACAATTATTGGATCAGTGAACAGCAAACGTCAAGTCTCAGTCTCTAATGAACGATTAACATGGTCGACCAGATCATGGACTATGTATGTTATTAAAGGATATCATGGTATAAGGATATGGACTTTCTACAGCTTGATTCATGACGAATTTAAGTGGTAAACCAGAATGATCGGCCGTAATAACTTAAATTGTCAACTTTACAGCAGTATTTAGCTTACCTGTCGGTGGTACTCCATCGCTCGGCCGTAGTTACCCAAACTGTAATGTATGTTACCAAGGTAACTGTATACGATCCTTAGCTTCCCTCTATCGCTCCCCACCTGTAACAATACATCACGTTACCATAGCAACACACATGTCTCTCTAGAGTCTTTATACAGAGACCACGTGACTCCAAACCGTACCGTTGTCATGGCAACACGGTAATAAAGTAATGGTTATATTCACAGCGTGACATTATAATTGCGTTGCTAAGAGATACGCTAATTAGGCCGGCATGGTTATCGTATGGAGGAGTATGTAGGAGCGGCAAATGAGCCGTTGTCATGGTTACCATGTTAGCGAGGACGGTATGTAAATCTCTCTACAAATAATATCAGCGGATAGCAACATGATATTACTGAGATAAACTGATGTTTTATCATTTTTCTGTGAGAGCTATACATTGCTTATCGTGGCAAGCATCATGATTCGAGCTTAGATTTGAGTTTTGACGAACGACTCAGTCAAATTGCGGTCAGGACAATGCAGATCATAAGATGGAATAATTTATGTGAGTTATCTGGATGATGATCGTAGCAATTAAAATCACGACTCATATCTTCCAGCTGATTAGTTTCTATAATTTTGTAATTCATTTCAGTTTCACGAACCATTTTCAAGCTCTAAAGCTAAAAGTATTTCATCATTAGAACAAACCATTAGGACACGATGGCAATGAAAAACATACGATAATACGATGCTTACATTGGAACCCTCATACCCAAATATGGTCATATCACTCTCCTCCCTCCCCTACCACTCGGTCTTGTTATGGGCAAATTGTACTTTGTCCATAACGGGAACACAGCAAAACGAAGCCGGCAGCGAGTTTTAGTAGCCAATAGCAACGCAGTGTGGTGGGCACGTGGTTAGTGATGACCAATCAGCGCGCATAATGGATGGCACGTGACACATATAAGTTGATGCACAGCGAGTAAGGGGGCTTGCGATCACGGGGTCAGTTGACAGCAACCGCTGCTAGACTCGGAATGTTTGCACAGAGCCCTTTAATTAATTATTGTACACTTAAAGTAGGGTATAAGTGACGTCATGAACATAAAATGTCATAGTTTATAATTTATCTATATATATATTTATTATGTTTGCAAGTATTTAATAGTTAGTGCTGCATTCAACTGTGGCTTTAGATTAGATAAAATATCAGTATAATTGTGAAAATCGTAATCAGATAGAGGATTTATCGTGAGAATAGTCGCTACATTAATCAATTTATAACCCTTATGTAACTAAATTCCCGCTACAATAAGTAATTAAAAAAGGACGTACCTTGTAAAGAGCCTTCTCCAGAACGGGTAACGCATCATCAAACTTGTTGAGCTGACAAAGTCTCTGACCTTGCGAGAGGAGATCCAAATATGTCATAGTAAGAGCTAGGGGTATGTGTGGTGGTAAGTATAAGAATGTGGAATGTGGTGGCAAGTGATGATGTGTAGAATTGTACGGGAAATGTACCATATAAAATTGTGATGAACCTTGGAACCGAAATACCAGCACAGCATAATAACCATTACAGCATAGTATTGATATTGTACATTTGGAGAGGAAAAGGAGAGCTGAATAATTTGTAGTAATATGGCAATTTTTCAGAAATATCACAGAACAAGGAAAACAAGTAAACTAAATCGCAGGTAGAAAACAATCACAACATTGCCTAGTCCCTCTGATCAAGACATTTGCAACCGACAATTCAGATCAGACCAATCAGCAGCAACCAACAGAGCTTCAAGCAGACCTGATTGGCTATGCTCGACATATGATCGCCTAGCAACGCCCTGATTGGCTGTACCAGACCACGTGATCACCTAGCAACGCACGTGTCGTAAACCCCCTGTGATTAGTCAGCAACTTGTCACGTGACACCCTGAGGAAATTCTGATCAAATAATCTAGAGATCGTGATTTGCTGTACCAGTCCACGTGATCAGTGAACTTTACAGGTTTCTCAACACCGGATATAAGATATATTGCTTGTGTTGATAAGGCTTGAGAGGAAGGAGCAGCCTGGTCACGTGACAGCCTGGTCACGTGACAGCCTGGTGGTGACACCTTGAGAAGATAACTGGAAATATTATAGGAGAAAAAGGACGGGACCCGGGCCTTGATATGGATTCCACCTTAGACTAAGCTGGATAAACATTAAACATCAGACTATAAATATAATGTGCACCTAGCCTAGATATTCAATACTGTGTGGTCTTTAAAGTCAATACAGTGCCTCATCAGGTCGATTGTACTGGGAAAAGAAATGATAGTGAAAATACAGTTATCAGTTTAACAACCACAATTTGACTCCAAACTACCAACAACAAGTTTTAAGAAAGAGAATATAATAATACATATGATTATATATGTAGATTTTCAGAGTGTGGAGTTCGAGGACTGTGTTCTGATTTCCGACCAAGAGGACACATGCGAAAATAATTAAAATGCCAAAATCTAGAAGATTCTAGTAGTTCCACAAGCAAGCATCTAGAAGACAATATAATTTATCTCCCAAATAAAGTAGGTCAATATCAGCAATATGCCGGGCTGTAAAATACAGGTAGTTCATGTAAGAGATCAACTAAAATCTAGATCATGTAAGAGATCAACTAAAATCTAGATAATGTAAGAGATCAACTAAAATCTAGATCATGTAAGAGATCAACTAAAATCTAGATAATGTAAGAGATCAACTAAAATCTAGATCATGTAAGAGATCAACTAAAATCTAGATAATGTAAGAGATCAACTAAAATCTAGATCATGTAAGAGATCAACTAAAATCTAGATAATGTAAGAGATCAACTAAAATCTAGATAATGTAAGAGATCAACTAAAATCTAGATAATGTAAGAGATCAACTAAAATCTAGATAATGTAAGAGATCAACTAGTAATCTAGATAATGTAAGAGATCAACTAAAATCTAGATAATGTAAGAGATCAACTAAAATCTAGATAATGTAAGAGATCAACTAAAATCTAGATAATGTAAGAGATCAACTAAAATCTAGATAATGTAAGAGATCAACTAAAATCTAGATAATGTAAGAGATCAACTAAAATCTAGATCATGTAAGAGATCAACTAAAATCTAGATAATGTAAGAGATCAACTAAAATCTAGATCATGTAAGAGATCAACTAAAATCTAGATAATGTAAGAGATCAACTAAAATCTAGATAATGTAAGAGATCAACTAAAATCTAGATAATGTAAGAGATCAACTAAAATCTATATCATGTAAGAGATCAACTAAAATCTAGATAATGTAAGAGATCAACTAGTAATCTAGATCATGTAAGAGATAAACTAAAATCTAGATCATGTAAGAGATCAACTAAAATCTAGATCATGTAAGAGATCAACTAGTAATCTAGATCATGTAAGAGATAAACTAAAATCTAGATCATGTAAGAGATCAACTAGTAATCTAGATCATGTAAGAGATCAACTAAAATGTAGATCATGTAAGAGATCAGCTAGAGATACACTAGGAAGATCACCTTACTAAACACTATCTTGAGTCCCTGCCAATATCTCGTGACACACAGTTCCCCTCTCCAGTGTCAAGGTGTGTCCCGGATTATATATACAGTTAGTAACTGCGAGAATTGAGGCAAAAGTAGTCAGACAAGGAAGGAAACACGGTTAGAGGTGGGTAATTGAAACAAGCTTCTGTGCTTATTATTTAATTAATTAGATAATGAGAGGTTTACAGGAATTTTACAGGAATTTCCCAGTCAATTAGCCGCTAGATTAACTTTTAGAGGCCGGATTTACTGTAATAATAAACTGTTTTAATGCTGTAACGGTAAGATGTAACTATTTTAGCGATGACTACGAGCAAGTACACAGAGTACGTCATGATACAATTATGATATCTATCACAGAAAAGTAAAATAGATTGCTCCTAGAAAATAAACGTTTACCAATACAAGTGAAACAAAAAGGACTATGTAAGAAAGGGCAATTTCGTTTACTAGGAGATGAGACAAGATAAAGTGATTAAGATAGGTCATTACAAATTACATTACATAAGTGTAATGTGTACACTGTGTAGAAGTATACTGTCAGGACTCAGGAGCTACAATATATTATACTCTAAGCAGTTGAACGAAGTCTAATTATATATAATCAATTCAAGGGATGATACTGCGTATATGCTGTACGGTTAAGCCGCACTCTACTATTTGCTACTTCAGTCAACGAAGTTCTAGAGGAGGTTCTATTTCAAAATTTATTAGAAACAAATAATCCATGAAAGCAAAACCCGAACAAGCTACAACAATATCAGTGCATGGAAATAACCTAACAACATTCAACATGAATTTATATTAACTTTACAGACGAATTCCAGGAGCAGCCCACGCTATCGTCTGGCGAGATACTGGCTAAATTCCTCACTGTCGTCTAGACACAAGGGTACAAGTAATACACATCACCATGGTGACTGGTGATATGAGGGTGATGTGAGTACCTCAGTACCAGACTGATATGAGATCTGGGTGATCTGAGATGAGGAGAGTAGTTAACCTCAGTCCATCAGCCGGGGCTAGTCCGCCAGCTGACACCCCCATCATTGCATCCCAGCAGAAAACGTAAGAGTGGGATAGGTGAGACTTAAGTAGCTGATTACGATATATAATTATTGCTGTGGCCGAATATGATGTATATCTGAGTAGCAGCTCATCTATCACAATTCAAATATTTTAATAAACAACTTATACTGCTACAATGTTATAAAACTAAAGCAAGAGAACACTAAGTAAGCTTTTGTCCCAAACAATTGATACTTTCCGCAACAAGTGCAGACTGAACCAGACGGTCAGGAACGCTCAGATGAGGAGATCAGCAGACAAATGATATTGTCAGAGATTGTCAAGATTGGAATTGATGTTGAACAAGAAATTCACGCCATTAAGAAGAGCAAGTCCATCCAATTTACTAATTTGCGTGTCAATGGTAAACATTTTGTGCCATGTAATGCAAGACATCTCGTAAGAGTAGAAAAACAGTTAACACAATGGAAAAGTGAGGAAAGCTTGTTAAAGTGTACCAAGGGAAAGAAGTTAACAATCACTTGGAATCAATCACGGTGCTTGACAGTATTACCCAATCAATATTGCCCAAAACAATCCAAGACACGAGGTACCATGACTCAATAAATGAGCACTCAAAAAACAGGGCCAGACCTATTTAAGAGCAATAAATGGAACCATGTGAAATGCGATAGACGGCAATAGAGAACAGATTAAAACTGGTGGACACTGACAAATCACACATTATCTAGTATAGACGTCCTGCAAGCAATTAACAGAAACTGCTACATGGGCGAGGTCGACTGTGTTACGTGATGCTGCTCTCTGATTGGCTTTCGTCAGAACACGTGTTTTAAGTACTGTGATTTAATTGGTCGAGCCCAGGTCACGTGAGCGGCGAACTCCGGACCCTCCCAAGGAAGGCTACAATGGTAACAGATTGTAGCAAATTAGTCGGAGTAACAACAGTGCTAATTGGAGGGAGACGATGATCAGATCTGTGGGAATGGGAGGGGTTGCTAAGCAGAAGAGGATCGGATTAAGTATTAAACAGAAGTACTTAGCAAGGGAGGACCTGTCGTGATGAAATTAAAGTAGCTCTGTTTCTCTTCAGAGACCTTACATTAATAAACAATACATTGTTGTACGATACATTGCTTGTTCAAGTATAATAAATCACGAGTATAAGTACGAGTGTTGTACAAGACATTGCTTGTTCAAGTATAAATCACGAGAATAAGTACGAGTGTTGTACAAGACATTGCTTGTTCAAGTATAAATCACGAGTATAAGTACGAGTGAGGAATCGTCTGGATGTTCACAGATCTCACCAGTTTGCTATCGTAATCGTGTCTTGGCGTGATTGCGAGACCAAACTGATGTCTGATCAATGTGCGTGGAAGTTAGCAAGTAATTCTCAGACAGAAAACAAAAATGAGGCATTTGAAAATCTTGCTTGACCGAACTGCTGATCAATTTTTCAGACGAGAACTTATCAAATCAATCAGCATGCTAAATACTGAAAATCCAGTCAACGAAGTCATTATCATTCAGCCAGCCAATCTCTTACTATACGAACAATCGCGTGACATGGGATAACCAATGAGATGGGCCTATTCTAGTCACATGACTCAGATCAACCATTCAGACGCAGGTATTCTTGACAGGGCATCCAGGGCCTGGAGAGGAGATGTTGGCAAGCAAGGTTTTTCCACAATAGTAAATAAGGGCTTTGATGCTTTGAGTGCACCTTAAACCATTGAGTACACAGCTGCACAGATTGCATCATAAGACAACTAGTTCAGCTAATGTTTAACAACAGTAGTTTGTGGTGTAAAAACCGTGACGTACTGCTTCAGAAAACTAAACAGGGCCCAGGTTCAATAGTTAAATGGTTCATGTGCATCCTGGTTTTGTAAAACAGACACCCTGAGGCCGAGGGAGGTTCTCGTTTAGCAACTGTTACAAAACAAAGTGACGGTTAGACCGTTCCCAAACTTCCGATGAAACATTGCAAAATTACCAACTGTAATTATAACCGACTGATAAACCACACCTCTGCAGATGATAAAGACTAACTTGACTCAAACCACGAATTAGAGTACAATTCTAAAGAAGTTGAAAGCGGCACAAATCTACGGAACAAAACATTGAACTCCACAAATAAACAAGAGAGAGAGCAATGAGCATACATACGGATTAGGGATGGATCTCATATTTATATATAATTGTTGATACCTAAACCATCTGCAATTAGGTAATCCTCATCACCACGAAATCGGTATCGAAATAAAATCCTGGAATAGTTAATTAACGTGGTACTAATTATTATTAATTGATGAAAAGATCGGGTTAACCCCGGGGCGGTGCACGATGTTTTGCTCGGATCAATTAGGACTTCCAATCAGCGATGATATTGAGAAGTTATATCTGTAGAAATACAAGAAGATAGGTGTGTATATTTACAGATGAGACTAAGTGGGGCGGGATTGCACCTTTAACCATACTAATATAAACAATCCAACTTTGAAGACAGAATTAAGTGGAATATTTGGACAGCAGGAATAATGTCGACAAAATTTGTCGGACAAATCAATGAATTAAGTTCATTCAGCGTACATCCGTGAGGGACTGAGGGTGCTACACTACTCCCTACACCACCGAACTAGAACTAAAACAAAATCCGTCAAGTCAATAATGAGACATCTTGATTGAGCAACCAGCTTTCCATCTGTCATATCAATCAGTCAAAATCACAAGCTGCTATCGATTAATTAGTCAAAGATCTGCTAGAACACACGAAACGGAAGAAATAAGAATATCAACTATAGCAAAACAGTACGAGTCGTAGTGACATGATAATTTCGTCTGTGACAAATGTTCAAAGACCGAACGGTCAAAGAACGTATGCACTACAATTTAAAAGCATGCATCTTTGCTAGTTTCTGGAAGCAGCATTTGCATTGTTATGTATCGTGGACAATAAAAACAATAAAAATACGTGATTTTGAATAAATTGATTTTCTAACTTGTCTATACTACAGTTCAAACTAATTTGACAATCACTTCAAATCAATTAATATAAGAACTTGAATTATCGTTGTAAACGCGAGAACATACTTTACCTTTAAGTAGTTTTAGCAGAGCTGACAAAATATTGCAACTCAAACGGGTTGATGTACCCTAAATTTAACTTTATGTATCCGAATGAAGTTAATCATTCGTAACTTTACGTAGTTAGTTGATCTTTAAAAGTAACTATAAAGCAATCATGTAATAAATTAAATCAAAATTGCAAATTCGGGAGATAAATTGGTGAGGATAGCAATAATTTAAAATCGATTGTGTAACTGTCTCCAACCTATAATTCAATCACCGACAGTTTCATGTCAACTCTACTTCAAACTGTAAAAACAGAATTTAGATCTAGTAACTATTGCCATGTATTTCTGACACGCTGTGATCGAACGTTGGAACGGGACGAGAACTCGAAAAAGGCAGTGAGGTCAGTGATCTGGTAATTAGTAATTAGTAATTAGTAATTAGTCAGAGATGAGGTCTGGATAAGGTCTGGGGGAGGTTAGGTATTGGAAAGAATTTTAGACTTGTCAGTCTATATTAGGATACACGTTGTCACATTAGACACGTTCATTTTACTATACTACTGTTAAATCAATTGCGCTCATACTACTTGGTAACTTGGGCTACTCGATAATATTTAATAATGATAGTCCAACAATATGGAGTCTATCAAATTAACTAATTAATTAATTAACTAATTCTTTCAACTCGATCAACAGTTGTCCGTCCAGGTAATCATTGTAAAACGTAAACCTCCCAACAGTATAAGTAACATCCTTAATTTTCTCATCATTTGAAAAAGTAAAAACTTCAAAACATGGGCTCCTCTCAGTTGAGCTTGTCCATGGGGATGGTTATCTTCTGAAGGAAGTCCTGCAAGTTTCCCTTCTGACCGTCATTCCCGTCAGGTTCAGTTGTAGAGGGTCTGGAGGGTTGAGCTGGGACTATTTGAGTCAGATTCTGTATCCTTACCGGTCCTTTCTTCTCCTCCGGGGTGAAGTCCTTGCTCATCTTGATATGGAAGAACTTACCTGTACAAGAATCACATGTTTAATAGTTAGTCGACAATTCAGAGATTTGTATAGTAAGATATTCTGGTTGGAGCCACAATCCACATCCAAAGTTTAAACAGAGTTACAATGTTATCATTCATTATACTAGAATATTACCTTGTGCAGCATTAGATCCCTTCATCCTTTTTTGACCATTCTTTTCTTCCACCACACTTCGTTTTTTAAGTGGATCAAAGTTGTGGATTTTGAAGTCAACTTTCCTGCTTAGCTTGAAATCAAACCTGACCATGATAACGCTTGTTAGTCTTTTATAGCAATTTTGCTGTAGTTCAAATTAAAGGATTCAATCTTGAAGCTTGTGATCACAATCATACATTCCCAAGATTGATTTGAGTGTTAACACCTACCTCATATGTTCCATTTCCTTCTTCCACTTCTGTTCATCGGTCCCCTCCTCTTTATTAAGATTATCTTGTTCAGCTGCAGATGTTACTAACTCCATGGGGGTACCTGTAAAAAAGGAATAAAATACACTGAATTTCACTAGCATGATACAGTAAAAGTGATCTAACACAGACATCTTTCCGAAAAAAAAACTTATCACAATTGCAATGGGATAATATTTAAAATTTATGTAATTCAATTAGTAAATACAATGTATAAGACAATGTTCGATTTTGGTAAAGAAAATATAAAATAATATTTTACTGACTGTCAGGCTGAAGTCTGGGTTCTCTGGCCTCCCCAATTCTGTGTTCTGAAGTGTTTATCCCCGAACTTGTGGGTTGCTGGATTCTAAAAATAGGATATTCAGAAGATTAGAGAAATACAGAATGCACTATCCATTAAACTCATCCTAACTTTATCTGTGAAACAACTTGAAATAGAAATGAACTTAGACAAGGCAAGGGTCAATTCAATTAAGCGTAGCTAGGTACTATAACGAATGGAGCAAAGCGGTTAAATTTAATGAAAATGAGGATTGTAGTATGAGAATAAAAACACAACAATACCAACTAACCTGGGCTCGAGAGGTTGTCTAGGAGCTGGACCTTGCTCCTCAATCACCTCATTCACATCTCTACTACTCGAACTAGGACTCTCCCCTCCACTCTTCAGATTAAGTATGACTCCTTGTGGACACTGCGATTGCATTGTTACGTTTCAAAACTAAATCCTAACGGAATCTCAGTAATGTTACCAAATGATTAAGTTCCATAGCGGCTAATGATTACAATATAATATGAGCTTAATTGCAACGTTAAATATTTTTAAAGTTAAAAATTTCACCTGAGAGTTTGTGGTCAGTTTCCTCCAAGACATTCCATTGGTGATGGACATTATTTCTACAATCTTTCTTAGCTGTCTGCTTGCCTCAATATTGAATACGGCGTTGACCTGACAGGGTACAATGTAAGTTGCCTGTTGACATCAACTCACATCAAGCAATATGTACATTTTATTGGCTACAGTGCTTTGACCCCTAGTAATAATAATAATGAATATTTATGTAATAAACATTTATATATTTATGTAATAAACATTAATATAATTAATATAAACATTTATATATTTATGTAATAAACATTTACTGTAGTGTAGGATTGTTTTAATCTCTATTTGCTAAGCTATATAATATACACTTTGTGATTGTTTCTCCCGTTTTTCTTCCCTTGCATTGCAAGTTCTGTCTCTTGTAAAAACAACCACTTTTGTAGATACACACAGCCTCTACGCCTTTATCCTCTGGTCCCTAGGTTCAGCTGACTCCGGGCCAGAGGTAAATTACCGATTGCCAAGGTTTGATGCCTAGGCAGTCGAGACCTCTTATTGAGACCCGATATAATAATGAATGGTATTTACAACATTACTATTAAGTGAGACTTGTGCTCAGTAGTGTGAAAAGAACTATATATTATACAGGGATTATACAAAGAACCCAATATTAAGATTTAAATAAAATATAAGACTGAGACAAACAAACAACTAGTTTTTACTCTTAAAACTGTACTTTAAACATACTTTAGCTGAGTAAATATGTCCTAAGAATAGAGCTTTTCCAAATCATATTGTGACATATTAAATAAGAATGCCTTTAAACCAATTTTAAACACCTAAAAATGATTATTATCCACTGTAAAAAAGCTTTAAAAAATATATTAAGTGGATCACAAAAATTGTAAAATGAACACTTACAACTTTTCGCTGAAGACTATCAGCCTCTTCGATAAAACCGTCATCTTTCAGTTGAGAAATAATCAGGCTGTACAGTAACTCATCGTAAGGCTGACCCATTATCTCTCCTAGACCGAATATTAAAATTAATATTAGCAATAATATTATATTTAATATTTATATTAGCAACAGATTCATTTTAATCATGTACAGGGGTTCACATTGGTACGATATAATTAAGCATCTGTAGGTTAATTTTTAGAAGAGCAATCAGCGATATTTAGCACTCGTTTTCATTGCACATCGGTTGCAATGTTGTTACAACCAGTTCAGAAATAAAAACTTTGACGTATAAATTTCGAATATATGCAACAATCAGGGCGATATAATATGAGGAGAATATTTTCACGATATACGAAATGTACAAAGCAAATAAACGCTTAATATAGCTGATTGCTCCTTCATTAACTTATCTACAGATATTTAAATCAGCACCAATCGTGAACAGTGAACACCCTGTGTATTGTATATTTTACTTTTAGGTTTTAATGGTATTTGATTGAGAATTGAAAACAGGTTCAGTAATCGTCTAACACAGAATAAAACTATGAATAAAACAGAAAATCCCAAAAGAATCAGCTCATTTTAACAATCAATAATACTAAAATTCAAATTAACATCGTCTGAAATTATTATACCAAACTAAAACATAAAACAGCAGTTACATGATTATCTTCCATAAATAAAACCCAGCTTTAGTTTTCTTTGTGTTAAAACTGATTATCTCAAACTATGAGAAAATTTACAAGTTCCCTAACAACTCATTTGTTTGTAATTAACTATAATTTAAAAAGCAACCCATGTTCTGTCACTGTTAATGAAATTTAGTCACGACAATGAAAATGTATTGGACACAAATACAAACGATACTAACAAAGCTACCACTCCTCCCAAGGTGGCCATGACAATGTTCCTTAACTGGGTGTCCTTTTCGTCATCACTGATGTCCCGATCTGTACTAACCAACTCCTTGCATTCCTCGTGAGCTCTGATGTTCTTGGGCTGTAAATCAAACAGCTCGCTTGCAACTTGTTCTGCTTGGGATATCTTCTCGTCTTGGAGCAAGTAAACACTTAATTCTACCAATCCAATGGGGAATGTTACTCTGTATGGGAGACGAATTGAAGAGTCTTCTATACTGTTCTCACATCTTGTTTCTATTTCCTGTTCTGCAAACTCACAATATGATTCAGCTCTGCAATAAAGACTCCTAGCAATGTCTTCCAGCATAATCTCTCGTGTGTGCTCTGTTGTCATCTTAGGTGGAATGAAAATGTGTGTGTAAAGTGATCCAACAAGCATGGATACACTTGTTTTACAGGCATCTGTGTTCTTTGTGAGCGGTAAGATCAGTTTAGGATGTAGCACTTTCCCAATAGCATTTTTGGCCTTTCCGGGGTCCTCAAAGTAACTTTTGTTGCCCTTACAGGTATTTCCTTTAAAATGAATCTTACAGGTGCTGAGGTTTTTAATAATACTGCAAATTTCTGTACGGAATGACAACTTCCATTGTTTGACATTTTCAAACTTAGGGAGGACTAGAGTTTGATCTATGTTAATGTATGAAGAAACTTCATTCCAGGAAGAGAAAAATGATTGATACTTTGTTGAAAGTGGTTTTAACTGCCCATCAATTAATACTTTGCCATCAAACTTGTTCCCACTCCTGCACAATACAGACGGTTCAAACAGCTGCTCATCAACAGCAATCAATTTCTGGAGCTTTTGATTGCCCTTCCTTATTATATTCAGTAGTGAAATAACTTTTTCATTGCTTATAAGTCCAATGAGATAACATCCACCAGGCAGAGCATATTGCAATTGTTGTACACTGGCTTCAAAGTCTCTTTCAAGGTCACCAGTAAGCGGCACCTGAAAAATTGCTACAACATACCGCTTGTCCTCAAAGATGGAGCCAATAAGAATTGAACATAAGCCTTTGTTGAGGGCATTTTCTAAATCGTCTTTGAGACTGTCTTCAACTGCCAAAACTCTCACCATGCTGCCAATAAGAAAACTAATAGATCAGAAACATACTTGAAGAGAAAAATAGATATCAAGTAATAACTCAAATAATAACTAGCCATGTAATTCAGTTTAAAGACAATATTGGAAACTGCGATGTGTTGACATTATAATCAATAATGAGGTACCACCACCTGGCAACAGGTTTTATCCAAATTATGGGTTCATACACTCAAATCTTGATTATTATCACAAACAGTTTCAATCGTCATTGACAAACTACAACAAGGCATCTTTTCATTAGTAGATCAATTATCATTGATAAACTACAGACCAAAAATTGCACCATTCAATTAATTAGGAAATAAAATCCTTAACTTTTACTGTTCTTAAACTGATATGATACATTTACTTGACTAATTTTATTATATACGTCTTCTTAGTGTGGTGACTTGTGGTTCATAAATATAACAATAAAAGCTGATAAACCAGAAGAACTATTGGGGTAGGCATGTGGCCCTGGTGGCTGCATAATCCTTACGGTCTGCTCTCTCCATAATCAGCCTGCTTATTCATTTTACCGTGTAGCTAATTTCTAGTTTTTATAGATAAAATGCAAGAGCATGTTTACTAATCTTAATCTACTTAACAATTCAATAGTCCAAGTCACCATACCCATTATTGTACAGAATAATGTTATAGCTCTTATGTCTAGTAAAATTGTTTTCATTTTATTAGGTCCTAGTATTTATTCCTATTGTCTTAAAGTTTTAAGAGAACTCACCTTAAATTATTTTAATGCAGTCACTCAGATAAGTTTATATCAGGACAATTCAATAAAGACACATACTCGGCCCACAATAAGGGGCCATAATTGTTTCAATTATGTAACTGTATAGAATTATTATTATTAGTAAAATTGTTATAATCGATTAAAATAAACATTGTTCTTTTTTTAAAGAAAAAAAGTTGTTTTCGAGAGCAAAGTCCAAGGCATGAATACCAGTTTCGCCTGGTCTAAGGAAATAGCTAAGGTGTAAGGATTCCGTTGGATCTACACGAAATTATGCTTCTGTGTAATGTATATCTACATTGTAGTGCACTGTAAACACATACGGATGATACCCGTATATATTTGTTTGAAAGACCCGACAACGAGACACTTAGACACAGCTTGGCGCACATGTCGGTAAGTTTAAGACCTACAACAAAAAATATAGTACTGTACTGAACTCTGTTATACAACAGTATAAAGTATTATTATTCTATCAACAACAAACAATCGGCGTATGTTTCAAGCCTTATTGACTTGTAGGTTTACAACCTACCAGGACGCGCGCCGAGTTGGACTCGTCGACGGTCCAATATATGGAACAGATATTTTACGAGTATCACCCGTTAACTTATTGACATATATTGTCTATGTGACGCAATAGTTGATGAAGAAGCAATTTGCCTAACCAAACCAATAACCAATGGCTTTCGTGTACTACGTAACGCTAGTATTGCAAACGTCAGCGGGCTCTGGTTGGAGTAAAATCAAATTCCGAGTGTGAATGAAATGAAATTATTTTGTTTACTTACACAAAAAAACTACAAGTTGTTTAGTTGTTGTATAACAATTAACACAATACACATGCAAGTGGCATGCAGGCATATTATTTTAGCTGTTTATATTACGTATGCATGTTAAGCATGATAATGACAAAAATATGGTGCTAAAAGAGGCATACATTTTAAATTCATGCGCGGCGCGGCTTGTTTGTTTATGTTAGATAATATTACAATATAAATACAATTAAATACGATTTAACTAAAAGCAATTTTCCAAGTTATTTGCCTTATATGTAATAAAATATTTAATATTGCTACCGCGATTTCGTGAAGTTGTGATGAGCAAATTATAAAAAAACTTATGTGTGCACCGCGACCCAATACAAATACAAAATAGTTATTACACTACAATTATTGTAGGTTTACAACCTACCAGGACGCGCGCCGAGTTGGACTCGTCGACGCGGTCCTGAATAATATTTGGAAAAAACATTTTACGAGTATCACCCGTTTGCGTTAATACAATTATTACAAATTGCAATTGTTTAGATTTTACTTAATTAATTTACACTGCACTATAACAATTCAAATTTATTAACAACAATATTTTAAAGTTTAAAATAAAAATATAATCTAATCACTTGTAGGTTTACAACCTACCAAAACGCGCGCCGAGTTGGACTCGTCGACGGTTCCAATATAGTGAAACAAATTTTAGTGAAACAAATTTAAAATTTTATCCTTTATTTTACAATCATAATATAATAATATTTATAAGCCTCCGTTTTGAAAGTTTTAAATTTTAATATATTCACATTTCTATTTAAAATTCAATTTAATGTATAAGTCAATAACTGGCCGCCAAAGCCGCGCATTCTTAAAAACATGATTAAATTGTTTATGATTATACTACAAATAGAAATACATTTAAAATTATCCGTGTTTTTTTTAAAAAAATAAATTATAATCTTTCCTAAATCCAAAGCCAGCTTTGTAAAATTTACTTTTAGATCAAAATATATCGTCAATTCTAAATATTTACAATGCAACATTTCATTAATTTACATACAAGCGTACTCCAGCCCCTGCACGCATCCGTTCTTATGCGGCGCGGCTCAAGCCGCGCACGCACGTATTATTTTATACTTTTTGCTTTCTAATAAATATCGTGTCAATGTGTACGTCTAAATGTTCATGCTTTGTGTAAACCGAATCCAATTGAGATTAGTGACAAGGATAAGGACCCAAGTGCCTGTACGGCTTTTTCGGACCCCTGTGGACCACTACTCTTGAAGTCGCTCTACAACTATTGAACATTTATAACTGTTATATAATATATAACGACATTTGACAATTATTATCATTAATCTATAATCTAGCTGTCTTGCTGAGGGGGAGGAGTAAACGCTTCACAAACTAAAGTGCTTACAACATACAAAATTTAAAACCATCAACACGGTTATAGTTCATATCAAGGGCCAATTTGGTATACCTCTATTTCGTTGTAATATCTAGTATATCTTCACATCTTAATACTATAATGAA